CCCCCCTACATCTGGCAAGTCCAATCCTTCCACCCACACCCTTCCACTTATAGGCTTTCTTAGAATGGATTTAAAATGTTCTACACATGCCCCAGCTATCTCCTTTTGTTGAGTTAACTCAATTCCATCAACAACTAGTTTGGAAATGAAATTTTGAAAGTACCTAGTATTCCTGTCCCCCTCTTGCAACCATTTACACCTAGATTTTTGCTTCCAACTTATTTTCTCCTTATGTAGGCAATCCTCTAATTGTCTTCTCAAACCTCTTCTTAGTTCATTGTCCCCCTCTCCAAATTCTCCCCTTTCTTCTTTAGAATCAAGGCTTTCAAGTTGGTCCATTAGAGTTCTCTTTCTTTCTTCTAACCTCCCAAACTCCAAAATTTACACTCCATTTGCACTGTTTCCAAACGCAGCCTAATGCAATTTACAATTCAGGTAAGTGTTAAGGGGGGGAAGATTCCTAACAGGGGTTGAGGGAGGGCTATCCCTGTAATCTCCAATTATAGGAAATCCCACTTTCAACAGGGATTGAGGGGTTTCAGGGTATGAGGGAGGGCTATCCCTGTTATGTAGATCATTTACCTAAATGAATTATAATTAAATGTATAAAAGAATACACATAATTCAATTAAAAATTGACGATAGTCTTCAATTTATCAGAACCCTCTACACCAATTGTCTGATGCCGCTGGTACCACCAAAACTTGTTCACCAACTTTTTTAAGGTTTCTCTTGGATAATCACTTTGTAGTTTCTACAGCGTGTTCCCTTACCACTTACCTTTTTCTTCCATTTTACTTTCTATGGCTTAGCTGGATTAAACCAACGACAGTTTTAAAACATGGGTGGCAAGTTCTGAAATCTAAGAGGCCTCAACTCATAAAGAGTTTTAATAAATAAGAGTGGCACAAGTAAAAAAAAAGGAGGGAAAACACTACGAAGAATTTACCAGATCTCCATTATCCATATTGGCTCCGAATGACATGTTGATTGTTGAATAAAAGCTCCAATGCATTGTCTGATGCAAGTACCAAATTATCATCTCGTCTGAATATACAGTCTTTCGATGAAGGTTCTAGAGAGATCATCGACGGCTATTTGATTCTAGAATTTCTTTTATATACCCCAGAATGGGATCAGAAAATAGTTAATTCCCACTTCCCAGGACCCAGATATGCTACTCCATTTACCACAGAAATGCTCAATCCAGGGAAACATTACCCTTTAAATTATGTAGCTCTATGATCAGAACCAGCCTTTCAAGCTAAACCATGAGAGGTGGTAGTGCAGATAATAAATCAAAACCTTTTAAGAGGCACAAAACGGAAGGAACCCAGGTTTACAATATGAACAAATTCTGCTTGATTTCTAGAATAAGTTAGCAACTCTGATTATATAGAATACAATGGTCAACATGTCTCTGTGGCTGGTGCGATTGGTTATCTAGATTCTACGAAAGTACCTTTCACAACTCATCATGTTTTGGGACACCTGTGAAGAGAGTACAAAATGAAACTAGAATAAGAATTCATGAAGATAGAAACCTAAAAATAAATAAAATCACTATGAGAATATTCTATTGCTGGTAAAAGTTGTATAGGTCTCTGGGCAAAAATATTTATTAAAAAATATGGATGGAGATGGTGTATTTGAATACATAAACATGTAAAGTGTTTTACATGTTGTGGCAATGGTGTTGTTGCTTCCTGGCAACCCTCTTCAGTGAATGACTACAGAAAATTATACAATCAAGTAGAATAAAACTGCATAGGGACACAAGAATGCCATTTGTAGAAAATCCTTCACTCTTTCATGTCTTCTATAAAAATATTTCCAAAGTCGGATGCACGTGCCATGTAATAAGTATCTTTTTCCCAAGAATCCGGTTCAAATTCATGAGCCAGTAATTTGATTGTCTGATGTCCACAGCCCAAAGATTGCACTAATCAGGTTCTCCAAACCATGTCCCCACTAAGAACATAAACATGCAAAAGTATGTCTTTTTATGGCTTCAAATCTTTAGAGCATCCAATTATCAAGCCTAACTAGAAAGGATTGGAAACATTGAATATGAGGGATGTTCAGTGAAATAGATAGGAAACTGACCTGATGACAATGTATCTCCAAAGAAAAACGAAATCTCTCTTGCAGCAGATTGAGGAGAATCTGAACCATGAACACAATTTCTTTCTAAATCCAACCCACAGATAGCTCTGATGCTGGAAATAACAGCAAAATCATAACCACAATCATAATAAAAGCAAGGAATATATGAAAGCCATCAAATAAAACTGTCATACAGCAAAATAACCAAAGACAACCAAATAAAGCTGTCATATGCAGCTTTAAAGTGGACAGAACTTCTCATGCTATTTCCTCCCAGTATCCTGAGCAAATATCTGAATATGCAGAATTTTACCTCATTAACCAATCTAAACCCTAAGGAATGGTAAATTATTGCAGGACCATCACTCAGATTCGATCTACTATGAGCAAGTATTGCCAAAACACCTAGGCAAGATAATAAGCATGAAAAAGGAGAGCAAGATTCTGGTCTCATTCCCATTAGAAAACTTTTGAATCCACAATGAGAATTTTCAAAGAAACAAGTAATACTTCATTAAATTAACCAAAAAAATAAAAAATAAAAAAACTCTAGCCACAATGTTTTTATAGCAATTTGTTATTAGCAAGATCTACATGAGAAAAGGAAAAATTCACATCTCACCAATAAGAGTGGAGACTTAGGGATCAAAACAGAACACAACCCTGGTGTCCCCTGTTATGATCCTAAATGTTAAAGTGCTTGGCTTGACGTGTTCCAACGGTCTTAAGGCTTTTGGAATATGGATCAAGCACGTAACAAATGGTATCAAAGCTTACCACCACGTCTCAAGTTCAAATCACAGAGAGGGCTACCTAGAGCAAAATGAGAGCTACCACAGAGAGGGCTACCTGTTGCCAGAGTGTGAGTCGACATGGAAAGGGCTACCTACCGCTAGAGTGAGAACTGTCGTGGAGAGGGCTACCTGTCACTAGAGTGAATATGTTGAGACATTGGCTGTGGAACTGTGGTATGGTCCTAAATGTTAAAAGTACTTGGTTTGATGTGTTCCAACAATCTTAAGGTTTTGGGTGTATTGGTCAAGCACGTAATATATACCAACACCAAGATCCAATGCAGTTCAAAAATTAAATTTCTCAGAACAAATGTAAATAGTTTAACCTAAAAATGGGATTATTCTTTGATGCTTCCCAAATTAAACTTTAACCTGATGATAAAACTAAACTTCTGGGAAACCTCATTATGTCTAAAAAGAGAGAAAAAAAAAGGAAGAAGAAAAAGTAACAAGATTAAGAGTTTAAATGAAAACACACATTAAAAAATATACTTAAGAATAAAATGTCAACAATACCTATCAGGGTGTGTGACCTTAGCCTTACTTGCATCAGTGGGTCCAATCAAAGCACGCCAATCAGCAATTGCATTCACCTTCTCCAGAATCATAACAAACACTGGACCACTAAGAAAATTCATATATCAATGAGATTTAATGCATGCAGGTTATGGTGGTTTATTCACTCTATTGAAGAAAATATGATGCATATAAATGCTAATACAATAACAAACAAACACCAAATGTTCTATTGTATCAATGGATGGAACTTCAGATGAGACTCCTCTATCAAAGAATTTGCAAAAATGGTTTTTTATTTTGTTAAAATTTGGCTCCTTTCAAGGCTTGAATTTGGAAAAAAAGACGGGTGGACAGATGTAGTGGTGGAAGGGGACTGTCAAGTTCTCATACAATGAATGGGATCAGGAGAAGGAATTCCTTGGAAGTATATATCCTTGGTAAAGCATGCAAAGATTCTAGGACATGACCTCAATAGCTCATTTAGATGGGCCTCCAAGCCTGCAACTTACAAGAGACGGGTGATTATGGGTATGGGGAGAACCAGGGCTGGGGAAAGAATTGTAGTATATGTAATATTGGCTGTATAGAGGGGCTGCTTGTAATTTAGTTGTACTTTTGCCCTGCTACACATGAGTTTGGATAGCAGACTTCTTTTTTCAATTGAATGAAAACTCCCATTGTTACTAGTCAAAAGAAGGGCTCCCTTCAACTTTAAAGATAAACAGAGGATGAGTTCCATGGCAATTAAGAGTATTAAATCTGCATACTATTATAAAAACATTAAAGAGTGATAATGCACCCCAAAAACACACTATAGGTATTACATTAACTTTACTAATGCCTAATGCAAACCGGTGAAAAGCACACAACTAAATATTTGAAGAGGAATAGAAAATAGAGTAACAAACATGCATCTAGAAACAAGAAAGGGTATGGAGTCTGACCATGCAAAACAAAAGGGAACAAAATACTTTTTGCGTGGCGGATCAACTCAACTAAGCCTAGTACTAACTACCAACTACATGGGACTGGCTACATGATTCCTGTTTGCCATTCCACTCTGTTCAGTGACATGTCCATTGTTAAATTATGGCCCTCGAATCATTCCACTCTCTCTCTCTCTCTCACCTAGTCACTAAAAACAAAAGATAATTGCTACTGGGCCTCACCATACATCCTGCCAGGGTTCCTTTTCATGGTACATTTTCTGGACTCCCCAAGAGAAAATTCTTAGCTCTGCTCCTGAGTTGAGATACCATAAAATTTGCACTGTTGCAGCAATCCATGTACAAAAAGCAGTCTATACTGCTATTTCATCATTTTCACGGTAACTAACAGCTATAAGAAAATGCAACTGAAAGAAAAGGCGAACTCTATATACTATTATTGAGGAAAAAAATCATGGGATACCTCGTCATATACTTCACAAGGCTGGGAAAGAAGCTCTTTTTAGAATGCTCTGCATAAAAGAGTCTGACATTAACCTCATTAAGCTGAATCGACATCTCCTTGAGGATGCTGAAACCGGAGTGCAGAATAACCCTCTTTATTTCATCTGTATAGTTACCAAACAAACCATCTGGTTTTATCATTGCCAAGGTCTTTTCTTTCTCTGGAGAGCCATGACTTAAAAAGCTATATCCCTTGCACATTAAAAAGAAAGTGAGGGAAATGAACTAGTAAACAGTGACAAGCATACCAAATATTGAATTAGAAATATTTAGGGTAGACGTAGAGATTATTAAGTAAACACGCCCAAATTTTCAGAAGAGATCTTTCATTTGAAATAGTTACAGCGCCCGATGAGATTGATTATAAAAGATCCGTTAGAACAATGGAAATAGATAAATCAAATCGAGCCAAAGAAGAATGAATCAGGGATTTGAATGAAGGCCTTATGAGCGTGACCGAGACAAATAGTTGAATAAGAACAAGCCCACATTGCAAAACTACAATGATAATGAACTCTTTAATGTGAATGAACTTGGACAAATGGCAGGAGCATATTAGTAATAGACGTGATGAAAAGTTCAATAAAAATAACCTTTTCAAAGGGAGCTCCGAAAAATCAATGAATCTCAGAAAGGAAGCTACACAAACTCAATCATGAGTATATAAAAATTCCAACAAAAACCAGAACGCTACCAGCGAAAGAAACATGTTTACCAGGTAATTAGTTCTAGAGTTTTCATAGAAATAACAAAAAAAAAAAAAAAGATACCAACCCAAATTAGAAGGCGTCAAACGGATGTTGAAGTTGGAGTTGGTTAAACATTGGATAATCCGTCTTATCGAGGAATTGAAGGACTTGTGGAACAAACCACAAACAGTTCCTAGAGTGAGCCGAGACTCGGATTTACGCACAGATAAGAAATTACAGAGATCGATAGATTGATAGAAGATTTTTTTTTATGAAAAATTATGGATCAGTTACAAAACTTTACACTAGTTTGTCAAGAGTATTGAGAGAAAAAACGAAAATGAACTTACAATATTGAGAAACTATAAAAAGGAGGAAAAAGCCTAACTCTGCTTACCCAGGAAGCAGCAAGATCGAAGATAGCAAGTAGAGAACCAGAACTCGAGCCATGACTCATGAGCTACGCAAGATGGGAAAGGAGGGAAAAAACTCTGAATATGGCCATTTGGCCACGCCAATCTCTAGTGAGTGATCATGGGCCGGGCCGAGAGCTTACTAGCTTAGCACCTATTTAAGTGCTACAGCCCGCGCCTGGGCCGGGGTTTTAACCTTTATTATTAAATGTGATATATAAAGTTAAACCGGCCAACCCCAATTTCAGGGCCCATAACTTTCAACCTTCTACTCATCCAAATTCACCCGATTTTTTCGATTTGGGTCGGGCTAAGCCGGCGCAAGTAGTTACTAGTACTACATCCAGTTCCAGTCGATTTGTACGTGTCTAACGGATTCAAAGTGCCGCAGGCCCGAAGCAGACGCGAAGCCCAAAAGATCGCGATTCGTTCCCTCCTTGATCTTCCTGCGTTAACGCTTCTCTGTGACTCTGTCTGGCCAGCCACGTAGATCCCGATGCTGGCCCATCTCTGTGAACGTGTCACGTCAACAAGAACGCATACGGAGGCAGTTCAATAAAGTTCCACTTGTTCGGTACTCGTCCAACATATCTCAAAAGAGAACGACAAGGAAAGAGGGAAGAGAGAACAAAATCAAAATTCATAAATGGAGTTACAGAACCCCTCACACAGGTCAGGGCATGTTTAGATTTCATATTACTATTTATCAAGGAGCTTGACTTGGGCTTGTCTGAGTGTGAGTACAAAATCTAGTTTGTGTTTATGGCCATCAGAATCATGTTCTTTTCTTTTTTTTTTTCTACTTCTTTTTGTTTGAAGCCGGAATTTTGGACGAAATCATAAACAGTATAATCAGTTCTTTTTTTAATTAAGATTGTATATTGACTAGTTCACTGCTATTGTTATTGAATCACTATGGCAAGCAGAAAGCAGACATTAAGTTGAATGCTTATACGATTATATATCTTGCAGGAGCTTGTGCCAACAGAATTAAAAGTGGTTATAGAACCAGGTGGATGCGGAGCTAACAAACTCTGTGGAACAGTCAGTCCGTTGGGAAGAAACCCCGGAGGGGGGGGGGGGTCGTGAGATACCCTACAGGTTTAGCCATTCAAGTGCTCAGGAAACCTCGATAGCAGGTCAAATTTGTATAGATCTCTCAGGGAGGAACTATTTGATGGCGGTTTTCCCCTTTATCTACCTAAATATCAGGTTCCTCCATGCGTCTCCCTCTAAACTACAGGAGTTTCTTGCATTGACTCATTTCTTTCTTTCTTTCTTTTTTATAAAGTCTTGCACTGATTCAACAGTTTATATTGACTGTTGATGGCCACATATTGGGCATGAGATGTAGCACAGTTGGGGATAATGGACTCTATGCCCTTTACATATTTCACACAAGGCTAAATGGTTTAGCATGCACTAACCACTAACTTGAACTCCATTTATGCCAGAACAATTATATGCTTCCCTGTTTTGAACATTGTTTTCTTTGTGGCATATATCAGGTGGAATCGGCCAGTGTAATATGCTACAACTTCAATTTATCCATATCAAGCTACAAAGTTTTTTTGGTGGAATATGTCTGTGAAATGGATTCAATTCACAATTTAGCCCTTCAAGGTGCATACAAGAATGTTCACCTACCAGCTATTATGATTGGAGGATGCTTTGTCCTTGTTGCATTGGTCTTGTCTATCCTACTAATATTCCAGCATCTAAGATCATACACCAATCCTGCGGTCAGTCTTCATCCATATCCTGATGATTCATTGCATTCCTTTTTTGTCCTATAGTATGTCTTCAAGTTCCATGGTGTGTGGGTCTGGTGATCAGTGTAACTAGATACACACACATACATTGAACCCTACTAATGGATTTAGGTTTCTTATTTTGGAGTATGCAATTTGTCGACCAAATTAGACTTATAAAACTTGTAACTAGACACACACATACACAGACACACCTCCATACATATAAACAAACATCAAATGCTCAGAGAACCAGAATGGACCAGACTCCAATACGGTTCAATAAAAACTGACTGGTTTAGGTGATCTGAGGTTGAATTATCTGGTTAGACTGAGAATAGTGGAACTGACCTTCTTCCATATATAGTCTGGATTTCAAAGCATTGTCACATGTATATAGAATTATGAGTATATTGTGTGTTTTCTATGATATGGTCTAAATGCATATCCCGTGCTTCATGTAATATTTGAATCTTGACTTTATTAGTGATTATCTGGCCAGACTTCCTTCCTCAATCTTTGCATGTTAATTTTCTGAGATTTCAAAATAAAAGTGCAAACAAAAAAAAAGAGAGAAACATCTTGTTACCATATATAGTTTCAATGGGATCTTAATATTTCCTTAAACTTGATTTATTTCAGGAGCAAAAGTGGATTGTTGCAATTGTTTTCATGGTTCCTGTCTATGCTAGTGAGTCTGTAAGTGCCATTTCTATCCACAAAGCTGAATTGTGCCTTTGACCAGAAGAAACTAATACTCACTTCATCTTCCCTAAAACATACCAGTTGAAATGTTTGATCATAAAAGGGTGTGATTAAAAATGCTAGCACTTGTGCTACCAATATTAACTGGTCCCGTAGATCTGCTCATCATGGGGAAGGAAATCTGCTATCTCCTTGATGTGACATTTATAAAATAAATTCTCATTACTTGTACCAACTCTGATGAAAAATTATGAACTGCTGGATCCAGCATCCCAGTACTGTCAAAGTGTAAATACCTTTTAATGCATGTCATGAAATATTGGATATTCTTACCTAAAAGTATAATTATCTACTTCATTATAACTATCATGAATTGGTTACCGGACTTCCAAAATGTCAGTTTTATTTTCTTTTCTTCTTTGGGTAAAAGGTTCATTGCGATTTGAACAACTTACATGCTTCCATTTGAGCCATTAAATGGAATAATCGTCTCTGTGTTTGCATGTGTCTAGAACATGAGCCATTCTCTTATAGTGTGATAAGAATGTAATCCCATTAAAACATTCTTCCAGTCATTCTGTTTAAGTTGATATGTATTGAACAACTAAGCATATGAAAGAATATTTCAAATGAATTAGCTACAATAATTAATGTAACTGCTATATAAACAAATAAGAAAAGCAACAAAGCTCCTGTCTTCATTGCACACATGAATAAACCTTGTATACAAGTGATTGACTTCGTCAAGGATTTATCGTTTCTTTTTTAATTCTGTTTCAGATCTTGTCCTTGTGGAACCCAAGATTTTCTCTTGCTTGCGATATACTGAGGAATTGCTATGAAGCATTTGCTCTGTATTCTTTCGGAAGCTATTTAATTGCTTGCCTTGGTAAACTTTTGTCTCCCAGTCGCCTATCTTTATGTGTTTGTGTAAACTGGAATCCATTATTATGTTGTTTTTAGCCGGAGAATTGGAAAATGTTGTTCATCTTCCATCTCAGCGTAATTGAACTATGGCTTAATTTGAATCCCTGGTTACTATTTTGCACAGAAAAAGATTTGTAAGGGTAAAAATATCAGTTTCTTCAAAAAAGATCATTCCTGAATTTTTTATTGATTGGTTTCAGTTCGAGAAAGCTCTACTTAAACTCACTCACAATCATATCCCAAGGGATAGACATTGTTTAATTCCTACTTGAACCAGTGGATGTTGAGAAGAAAGTGCTAAATTTCTTGTGGGATGGTTGAAAGGATGGCAAGAAAAATCTTCCTGTGGATAGGGGAAGGTACTCCACAAGAGGTGGGAGATCTAGGTTATTGAAGGAAAATATAGGAACAGGCATGATGATGAAGATTCCAATCCTTCTTTACTTCCTTGTGGTTCAGGTGTGTGGAGGGTATTCTCAAACATGTAGGTAATTTTCAGAAGCACAATTTCTTGGAATGATAAATGGAATGAGGATCAAGCATCTAATTCTTTCTCTTTCTTGTTCCAATTGGCAAGAGATAAGGACCCACCATCTATGAGTCTTATGATTTAGTTGCCAATAAGGTGGTTTGGGGGACTCAGTTTAGGCGCAATGTTGACAACTGGGAAGAATAGAAACTTCTTTCCCTGCTTAGCTGCATCCATGACACAAAGATCTCACCACAAAGGGAGGATAAAAGGGATTGAAATCTGGATTAATGGGTTTTTCTTAGTTCAGTCTTTTTTTTCAACTCTTGTGGGTGAAAGTGATGTTTCACTAGGAAGCAAACACACTGATTTCCCTGCTTGGCCTCATCATAAAGATTTAACTAGGAAAAGAGAGGATAAAAGGGTTTGGAATCTAAGTCTAGTGGACTTTTTCCATTTAAGTCTTCTTATGCAACTCTTATTTCTTTTTTCTTGGCATTGATTATGGTCCTCTCATATCCCAACTAAGGTCTGCTTTTTTCATGTGAACTGATTATTTGAATAAATTTCTGGCAATTGACAAATACATTCAGGGAAAGGATATGATAAATAATGTGTGCCTCAGCCTCGTAAGACTGTTTAGTTCCTCCTAATTCATTGTGGTTTTTCAATCTCACTGTGGTGACACAGTTATTAAGATTTCTACTCAAAGTGAGTCATTCCTGGTGGTAGTTGACTCTTGGGCGGTTAAAAGTACCCCCTTCTATTATGATAGGGGGAGATGGTAGGGCTAGAATGAGCATAATCCTTTGAATGACTAGAACTGAGCCAACTATATTCCATATAAAAATGTATAATAATTATACAAAAATTAAAAAAAAAAAAGTTTTGTAAATTATGTATATGAGCTGAAAGCATGCTCTGATACTTGTATTGAATGTTTCTTCCCTCCTATCCATTTTGCTAATATAAAAATTCTTAATTATAAAAAATAAAAAAAAGTGGTTTCCCATCCTGAGTAAAATGTCTTGTGCTCAAACATTTTACACAGTTTAACCCCAATCTTACTTGTATAGAACCTAAAGGTGTTTACCCTGTACCAACATTTATAAGTATTTTTCCTTGTTTCCCTTTTCTTTATTTTTCTTTCTATTGATGGATAACAAGATACTCTCTGTTTTCATTGGAAAATATTGAACCTCTGGACTTGGGTTGCAATTGAACCACTTCTCTTCTTATCTGAATATACATTACACCTCTAGCTTTTTGCACTTGTGGACCTTTTCAAAGCCTTATTCCTGATCCTGTTCTTTCCAAATAAGCTTGAGGAAATAACCTGATTGTTTCAACAAGATCCGTTTAATAGAAGAACTATTCTAGGTGGTGAAGAAAGAGTCATAACACTTCTGGAAACTGAATCAAGAAAAAAACTCACCAAGCCGTTGCTAGAAGACAAGAAACAAGCAGTGCAAAAGAGATCATTTCTCAACTTTTTCATCCGGCCAAGTGTGCTTGGAAAAGACTTGTACACTGTTGAAAAATTTGGTCTTGTGCAATATGTAAGTTACAAACAATAACCTTTCCGTTACATACTCATGATTTGGTTGAATTCTAATATATCTTGGTGGCCAGATGATTTTGAAGACAGTTTGTGCTTTCTTGGCCTTGCTATTAGAGATCCTTGGTGTTTATGGTGATGGAGAGTTCAAGTGGTACTATGGGTATGTATCATATTCTTCTATATTGGATACCCAGGACACAAGATGCTCTTACATGCTTAAAGAACTAGTCTTGGTGTGGGCTTACCTGGATTATCACTAAATACTTGTGGCTTCAATTGTATGATACTGTATTGATATAGTTTCTGTAATTCCTAGGAATCTATTGTTCTTTTATATATACTTACTTTTTCTGTCAATTTGAAATGGAATTGGAGTTTTAGCCAATTTTATTAAATTGATATATTATACTTGCTTCAAATACTATTGGTATAACTACTTAATTACACCCAAAGTTAATTGTGTCTATATTATTAAATTTTTGCTTAGGCAAAGTTGAAGGTTGTGGCGGGGAGGATAAAGACAGAATTTAACCCTGGGTCAGTGGGAATTGCATCCACAGACTACACTAGCTGAGCCAGTTGGCACTATGTTAAAACTGTTCTAAACTGGGCTAGTTTATTGCTGTAAATTTAACTGAACTTGTAGGTTAATGATCAAAACTCAACATTCAGATTTTTAAGATGTTGAAGTGCATATGTATCCAAATATCTTTATTTTTTTTCTCAGTGTATCCAAATATTCATATTCATTCCTCTAAAAAAAATACCCATATTCATATCTTGATACAAGTCTTGGATCCTTTCCAAAATTATTTCTTATACTTTCCTTCCTATAGAGGTGATGTTGGAAATTGGGAGAAATTGTTGATTACACAATTTGGCCATGATTTGATGTCTAACCCATCGTATTATGTCACTCATAACATATTCTGCATGCATCGATGGCTGTTTACAGTATGGGTTTAACTCAAGATGGGTTGGAACAGCTTAAGGTTAACCCTAAACCAATAAGTGATGAACCCCCAACCCTAACTCTAATCCTACCAGATCCTCAAACCAAGCAATCAACCCTAACCCAACCCAATTAAAATATTGAGTTTATTGGGTTTGGTTGGTGTGGTAAGGTTTCCTACAACTGTAGTATGATGTATGAGAAAAACTTGTGAGAAAAAAGTCAGCGCCATATGAGTGTGTGAAATTAGTGGATCCTCAAGGTTAAGGTTTGATATTTCTTGTAATATATATGGGTAGCTTTTAATTTGCTGCCTCTTACAAACCTAATTTCCTCAATTTTTCAGTTTTTCATAGTAAAATAAAATAAAAATGCATTCAAGAAAAGCAAAGCATACAAGATATATATGGGTCAATTACCAAAAAAGAGATAAAATGAAAAAAACAGAAGACAGGGCGTGCCAATCCAAGGACTATGTTCCATAGGTTATATGTTTAAAGGTAAGCATGCAGTTTCTTCTTACAGGTACCCATACATAGCAGCAGTTCTGAACTTCAGTCAAATGTGGGCTTTGTATTGTCTTGTTCAGTTCTACAATGTGACGCATGACAGACTCCAACCAATAAAGCCACTTGCAAAGTTCATTAGCTTCAAGGCTATTGTCTTTGCTACTTGGTGGCAAGGTGTTGGTATTGCCATATTATGTGCATTCGGTGTATTACACAAGGAGGGAAAGTTTCAAAATGGCCTGCAGGATTTCCTTATCTGCATAGAAGTAAGTTTCTTTTTATATTACACCTATGGTCATTGAACCTTTACTAGGACTTTGTAATTGTACCCCCATTCATGTTTAGACCAATCATTCAGTGAATCATACTTGTGAAAAGAACTACATAAGATAATGACTCAAATGGATTATCTTTAGCATTAGATTAATGTACTTCTCCCAATCCTTTCATCATATTCTTCATAAACTCGATCCAACAACATGCTTGTCCCTCCTAGTTATCAGGAAGCATTCTTTAAGATGATATTCTTTCCAAAGCTTCTTACCAAACAGACTTCATATTTTCCTTTGACAATCCTTTAGCTGATTAATCCAATTTATAATCCAGTCATGGAGACCAAATAATAATTTGTCCACCAGAAGAAGAAAACAATAATGAAAAGAAGGAAAGAAAGAAAGAAACATGTTTTGAATGGAAAGAACTGTATGGAGAAAATGTCTTGTGGCAGGGAGTGTAAGTTCTATTGGCTGGTCAAGATTATTAATTTTTGGTCTTTCACTTCGATTATAGGTAGGTTGAGAGGTCATGTAAGTAAAATCTAAATTGGTTAGATGACCTGCCAATTGGAATGGGTAGATCATAAATGTGCCAAGTAAATATGGATTCATCTTAACTTTGGGAGGACTAAACAGAAGTTATCTGCTATTTAACCCGATGCCTATTGTAAGTGATTATCTTAAACCTGTAAGTACCGTTGTGTCAATAATGCATCCACCCATAGATTGGACCTGGGAAGAAATGTTACTCTTATTTGGCATCTCAAATTGTCCAGACAGTTACTGGATACTCAACATGGAATATATGACCAATTGACCAGAACTGATTGATTGTTCTGGACAATCAAAAGGCATTTAAATTATGTAATTTCAGTCATGTAACTGTGATTGTTAACGTAGAAATCAACAGCCCATCTTTAACATTGTTTCCAACTTGTTCCATAGAACTGCAGAAACATAATATTTTATAATAATTTGTATGTTAGACTGATCGTGCATGTTAACTCACTGTTTTGCCAGATGGCTATTGCAGCTGTTGCTCACATATTTGTCTTCTCAGCAAAGCCTTACCGTTTCCTGTCTGTTTCTGAGTATGGAAAGGTCACCACCCAAGAAACTAAAACCATGATGAAGTTGCAGGAGGGTGACATGGAGAAACCGGCTATCCTTGATAGAACAGAAACTCATAATGAGGCTCCTGGTACAAGTATAAGAGAAAGCGTTCAGGATATTTTTGTTGGCGGCAGTGAACACGTAATCCTTCTTCCTACCTGACAATGCTATTAATTTTAGAAAACTAATTTCTGTAGGATATTCCAAATTTGGCTTGCTAGCTTATTAACAATGACATTATAAAGCAGGTTGTCAAGGACGTTGTGTTGACCATAAACCAAGCAATAGAACCTGTAGAGAAGGTTGGGACAAGGATACAAGAGACATTTCACCACATCTCATTAGGATCTGGTAAGAAGGAAGAATGTTCAGAGGCAGAAGTTGAAAAACATGTTGATCGGGAAAATATCGCAAGAAGTGAGTCTAAAGTGAGCAAGTTTTGAAAAACAAAAAAAAAAGGTAATCGTTCAAGACAGAGGTGAAGTTGATGGATGAACAAAACCAAACCATTATGAAACTGCTTGAGTGCTCTACTGATAAATTTTGTATGCAGCAGTCATGTGAACTGCAGGGAAGTTTATGATATTAGCCTGCCCCAGAGAACTCCTATGAGCTATCAGCATCTTAATCACCAGAACCGTGGCAAAGGAACGAAGTTCTGCTTCTGTTCTGATGGCATCTAGAGTTTTGGAGCAGAAACACCACAATATCGCACTCTTAAAAATCTTTAGAACTGCATTTGCCAATGTCTTGATTTGCACCATACCATGGTAAAGCCGCCATTGATGGGCTTCTCGCCTTTATACTCTAGGCTCCAGCTCCCCACCCCAGCTCTCACTCTCTCTTGCAAACCTCGGAAGAATGTTGCAGACATTGAGCACCCTACTGATGAACAAGTATTGTACTAACGCTTGAAATTTTGATTTTTTTCAAGCTGACGTTAAACCTGATTTTTTCAGGCTGACCTTCAACTCCGAACTCCGATGTCGATATTAGATATTACCCTCCAATCAATCCTCACGCACCTTTTCATCGCTTCATACACATATGCATGTCTCTGTGTTATGTATTGAGAATGAGAACGCAACAAAGAGTTAAAGACGTTTCACACATTTAGCGTTCTGACACTTGCTAAATGCTCTTGTGATGAGTCATGGCTAGAGAGCAGCTTATGCTATATGTTTGGTACTTTGGCTTAACTCTGCAGTCTGCTCCGAAGAATTGCTGTTGAGAAATGATTCTGAAGGAAGAATGATTTTATTTTGAAGCCAAAGCTATGTTTGGTTAAAATTTTGTTCCAATGAATCATTATTTTAAGATAATTTTCAAACCAAAGATGATTCTCTTTTAAAACTAAATTTTATAGCTCTAAAGAACCAATTTTTTGAATGAGCTTGAGTTCCAAAAAAGAGTTAATTTGAATGAATTTCATACATACTTAAAAATGATTTTGACTTGGAATTCATCAGAATTAAAATCTTGAAAGCATGTCAAATGCAGCCTAATTTTTTTTTTTTCTTAGCTTCATCTTTGAGTTATGTGCTCAATAAAAAAACGGTTCAAACAGTTTTCATTAATTCAAGCTTAGTGATTCTTAATTAGAATAAAAAATCATCATAATTAATTCTCCAAACAATAATGGAGTCCGGATTTCCTGCAAGCAAAAACTCTGCTCAAATAGCATCCGTAAAATTCATGGGGAGATGTTCTCACGGCAGTATTCCATGCTTTCACAGTGGGAAAAGCTATTGGAAAGACAATTTTTAGATAGAGTGGAATGATCATGATACACATGAAAAATTTGTGGAATTTCTCAATTACATCAATAACACGAATCGGGATTTGTTCCTCTTTACCCAACCAGCTTCCCCATAGCCTCTGCCCACATGATATCCGATATGCCAGCAAGCTTGTTATAGCGGCCGGATCAGTCACACTGAATGTCAAATGCTTGAATGCGTACTTGGGATTTCCTGGTTCGTCTTTGTAAGCATCAACAGTCGTCTGGGTTCGCAATTAGCAAGGGAAAAAGGTAAAGGGGAAACGGGCGTCATTGGAATTGTCAATTGAGCATTTGCGAGGTGCAAAGGAATTGATTGAGAAAACAGAGCTAATTGAGGAGTGTCAAAAGAAGTCTGAAAGCCAAAGCCAGTGCTTGGTTGCTGAAAAAATGGAGATTGTTCTTATTGCTGCTGCTGGCCTGCTGAGAGAAAGGAGTAAGAATAGCAACGAGCCAAAGGTAGGATGCCAGAGTTCTAAATATTGTTACAAAAACAAGTAAAAGACCCCTCTTTACTGTTAGTGTTTAGCCGTTTAGGTAATGGCTGCCGTCCTGCAGCCCTGGTCTTCTTCCTATTTTGAGTTGCAATAATTGGTGAAGAATGAAATTGGATGGGAAAAGTGATGTTTGCTGATTACGTCGGGATTCAGAAATTTGGCCAAAATGAGCGCTCACATGCCAATAATTGATTACTGTTTTTCTGTTAGTTGATTTTTTTTTCTCTTTCCTGGTTTTTCATCATATTTCTGTCGCTTTTTGTTATATTGGTTGGAGTATGACAAAAAGAAAAGCTAAAACCAAAAACAATTTCTGCCACTTTGGAGGAGGCGATCTGTTATGGAATTGAGAGAAAAAAGGGGAAAGGGGATACGAAAGTAAGAATGGATGAGAGAGAGCTTGGATATCAAGTGCATAATTTGAAAATTCAAAGAACAAGTAACGGCACTTTCGTCCTTTGCTTAATTTTTTTTAACAAGGTAAGTGTAAGTAATTTTAATAAGGGTAATTTCTTAAATTAATTCTATTATTTCGTTAATTGACAAAAATTATTTCTTAAACTATATCTTTATTGTTTCTGACAATTGACTAGCTCTACCCTTATTGTTAAAGTGCCTTAATGTTTCCTTAAAATTCATACACACATGACACGTATAATCAGGTATAATTTTTTTTTAAATCCAATGTTACCCTTCATCCATCTTGAAGATGAATCAAGACGCTCTTGTGGATGAAAAGGGATTCCTTGGCAACGTCTAAGCTCTCTTGGGTGTATGGTGATTGAGATGGCCACCGGATGTCCCCGGTGGATAGAAGCCCCGGTCTCTGCCCTTTAGGCCCCCGTTGATACCCTTTTCAGAACTTCCCCTGCACCAGCTCCCTCTAGATGAAAGCCCATGGAGCCACTTCCAAGTACTCCAAACAAGATAAAACCCCAGCACCGAACGAGATCACAACTGAAACCTGGGGCGTAAAAGATTATTGTGGTGGGTATCAAAGAAAATTTGGAATAGAAGGATGTAGCAACCTGCTTCCTTGACCACGGATTGGAGAGCTTGGTAGCGAAAAACTGACAAGGGGCGGCAACAAGGATCTTCTAACAATGAACATTCATTAACGCTAAATTCATCCTTGGAGCTCAAGGTTAGCTTGCAATAACAATAAGGATATCATACCAGAGAAGATATTGCACACACCTCAAGCAAAGTGGATTGCCATGGCCCACCTACCACCATCGTTTTGGGGGGTTGATCTTTTTGAGGTCCAGCCCCAACCAGAGCGAATAGAAAATTGAGATTTTGATCCTGGAGGAGCTCAGGGTTAGCTTGACGTCGTTGGACACCGGATCATTAAACTAGTTCCGAGGGCTGCAACTCCCCAGGATCTACGCCACTTGTTTTTTTTTTTTTTTTTTCTTTTTTTATCAAGTTCTAGTTATTTAGCCCTCTTATATATAGTGGCCTGGCTTCTTCAAAGCAATTAAACAGCAATAGGTACATATGATGCTAAGTCCCTCCTAAAGTAGCTCCAACATCTAATACTATGCCATAAAGGTTTTGACTACAAAGGATCAACCTGGGCTAGTGAGTTGGCCATGGAAGAAAGGTTTTGACAAGGCCATCTCCATTCACCATGAATCACAAGAAAGTTCCTCTTTCAAACTCATTTCAGGGAGGTTTCATCTCAATCATCCTTTGTATTTTTTATTTCTTTTCTCCTTATTTCCTTTTTCTCACTGTTGCTTTTCTCTACCAAGTTGCCAAGGGTACTTTATCTATGGACTTCGTTTTCTCTGATTTCACTGGTACGAGTTTACTTACTGATCTACTAGTATGTTTTTTAGGTGACAGTCCGTTCAGAGTTGAGGCTTGTGCGTTGTTACTCCCCTGAGCCGTTCTGTGGCCTCATGGGTATTAAAGGTAACATAAAGAAAAGAAAGAAGCATGGCTTCTTTGAGGCCCTACTTTGATGGAAAGGAAAGAATCCGCAGAGTTGTCTATCAAAAAAAAAAAAAAAAGAATCCATAGAGTATACTAGGCGGAGGTAGGAAAATAGCTTGCTCTTATGGGAACAAATTTACCAACACCCCACACTTTGGACTGCGAAGATTCATATCTAAAGACAAACACCAAAAGGGGGAAGTCCTTAAAAAGCAAGATCTCCAACACAAAATCGAGCAAAAACAAGGTGAGAAAGTTTGTGTCGACAAGGACAAATTAGAGCGAAGGAAAGATGAATACCTGGAATGAAGCAAATTCTCTCTCATAAATTCATAATTAATTTTGGGTCCCGATGTCAAGAGCTCTGGTTTCTAAAAATTTTCATCAGTTGGATTTTATTTTGAAAATTTGAGGAATGGTGTAGGGTAAATTTGACATTTTATTTTTTCTGTTAGCGCTTAAAAATGAAGTCAATTGTTAAAAACAGTAAGAATACTTTAAGACAATATGTAGACAATAAGGATATAATTTATTAATTAACTAAACAATAAAGGTAATTTAAGAAATTTGCCCTTCTAATAACTATAGGGTATAATTTAAGCAATTTAGTGAAACTATAAGATATATTTTAAGTAACTAACCTTTTAAAAAAGTAAATAAATTCAGCAAGCCTTCGTTTGGTTCTACCTACAACTCCAAATACAAATCATCTAGATGGATTAGGTGCCTATTAATAGGGAGGTATTACTCCATTTTGAAAAGAGAAGAGAGGTATTAATGATTTAGTATTTAGCATACAAGGGAGAAAGCTTTTAAGTTCAGTATGAACATTAAGTTTTGTTCCATGAAGGCGGCTAGGTGGAGCATTAAGTTCCATGGAGCGTACCAAAAATATTTGAATATTAAGGTGTGTTTGGTTGTAATGCAAATAAATTTGCACTGATGTAAAACTATAGCAGTGCAAATGATTTGAATGTAAATTTTGACCAATTTTTGTTTCAAATTTTAGTTTATTTTGTTCGATCGCAGTACAAATGAAATAAATTAAGATAGGAAGCATAAAATCCAAAACAAAATTAAACATGAATTTTCATTTTTTACATTTGCACTCACATGCCCAGTGCAAACAAAATTGCACTGCAACCAAATACAGCCTTAGGCTCAGTTTGGAAAGAGTATAAATGCAAATATGTAGAGTGCAAAACCTTATATTTTGTATGTGTTTATATTGTTACATATTTGTATTTGTACCCTTTCCAAGTTGAGCCTTATGTTGTGTTTGGTTGCAATGCAAATAAATTTGCACTGCTGCAAAACTATGACGGTGCAAATGATTTGAGTGGAATTTCTGACCTATTTTTGTTTCAAATTTTTGTTTATTTTGTTTGATTTTTAGCATAAATGAATTAAATTAAGACATGGAGAAGAATAAAATAAAACCCAAAACAAAATTAAATAAAAATTTGCATTTTTTTCATTGCATTTATACTAAAACAAATAAATTTGCACTGCAACCAAACACAACCTTCAGTTCAGTGTGAAACACCGATACAAAAAAGGCTGCTAGGTGGAGATGTGACCAGGAAGAGCAGTAGAGTTTAATCGCACCCTACAGTACATCCTAAGCGTGTATCTCCCACTGACAAGTACGGAAGACGTTTCTGATGTTTGTTGAGATGTACATGTGGGGCGCTGATGTGATCTCACTAATGAAAGGAACCGGCAATAGGAAGATCAATCAAAACTATAAACTATGAGAGGAGCAGCATGTCCGTATTGGGATGATCCGTGGCAACGACAATGAAGTTGCAATGAGAGGAAAACTTTCGAATTCTAACCGTGGGTACCTTTGACTGTTAAGACTTTCAGCATTTACCCTCCACTCGAAAATTAAACGTTCTCCACTCGGAAAAAGGTATCACTAACCCAAACCATAACTAAACGTTCTCAAGTCGGAAAAAGGTATACTAACCCAGATCATAGATCCTGCTTCTCAGCAAGTTCTGGTCATACATAGGTCATACCATATTTGTATTTATTATTCATTGGAGATGTTCTCTATACATACATTGTGGGATTTGTCTGCGAGGCCGGTGTGAGGAGCGCTGTATGAGCAGACCCATCACATGGATCCCATATGAATCCGAAAAACAAATATATGTTATGTTAGTCGAGAGAAACCACAATCCCCTCATTTTCCCTTCTTCAGAATGGCCTTAAGAGAGAGAGAGAGAGAGAGAGAGAAAAGTGAGCCAAGATGCAACATGCGTATAACCTGAAAGACAGGATATACAAAAGTTACACACATATAAATACATTTTAAGATATATATTTGTCACTCTTCATCATTCATTCCCTGAACAGACGTCTGCACAGCAGTCGGAGCAGGCAAAACATGATATGGCAGTGCAAATCTGAGTAAGAATAATAGAACATTCATTATTCAACCGAGAACAAGCTCGGATGCCGCACATGCAACAACAAGCATGGACCAACTTGCCACAACAACCAGAAGTTGCCTTCACAAAGGTCTCTGCAGATTCCAAGGAATAAGCTTCACCGGATCCGGGAGGGATGTTCTCTTGTGTTGCAGTCAAGTTTCCAAAACTTGTACCCAAGCTCGGCAAAGAATATATCTTGCAGCCTTTCGAGTCCACTAGTTTTGCAAGGTCAATTTCGCCCAACTCCTGATCGTACGGTTTTTAAAGATTTATCAAAAAATAGAAAAGAACCAGAAAGGAAAAGAAAGCTTGGGGGATAAGGATCATAATCAAGTATCTAATAGTAAATATATTAAAAGCAACATGACCCAGATGATCTCTAAACCGTTCACATTTTTAAATCAAGCAGCTATTCTAGGTGTGGTAACAATCTATGTGACGATGAGAAGCAAGAAAGCCAAACCTTAACATGCCTCTTGCAGCCTAGTGGTGATAATGCATTTTCAGCAATAAATGGTATGGAGCAACTTAGAATGAAAAACAGATGGGGATGAAGTAGTGTCGTAAAATTTCGTTACCCGAAAAAGGGCAAAATACAGAGAATTTATCTTGTATTTGGGGCTAGTGAGATTAGGATCCATCCCTCTACTTTCATTTGTTACAAAAAGCTACCCTAACTTTCAGATTCCGATACTCTGCTAGTGTTGAAAATTTTGTACTTATCCAAACTGTCTGAATGCTAATGGCAGGGCAAAATGATCTCGTAAAAACATGCATTGCATGAGTATAAATCTGGAACATATGCAAATTTTGACCCCTGTTCAATTTTGTATCTATTTGTTTGAAACTATAACTTGCACCCCTACATGAAACAAAAATTTGTACCTTTTGTCATATTTGTATTCACTGGCAATGCAAATTTTGCATTGTACAAAGAAGCTAAGCTTAATATTCTAACCATGGCAAATCTTTCTAATGAAGCAAATATATTTTTGTGGCACTTTAGTACTGCATTCTACAAAGAAGCTAAGCTTAATATTCTAACGATGGCAAAGTTTTCTAGTGAAGTAAATATATTCTTGTGGCACTTTAGATGAGCATACCTCTCTCGTCTTAATTGGTTCAGGTGTTTGCTTCACTTTGTCAGTCTGAAGTAAGATCATATGGGTATACTCGGATGGAACACCAGTTTGTAAACTCATCTTTGCAACCTGTGAGATGGAAGGAAATAGCTCAAGCAACTATGACTACTGAAAAGGATATCTCCTAAAAGCCACCTAGCATCAGAACAAAAAAAAAACCTTGTTCATGGGGCAAAACAGTTTAGATCCAATTGCAGACAGAGATACACATTGATCATACTGTTGAAAAGACCAAGTGAACCAGATAAACTGATTGACCCAGCGTCCAAATTGCTAAGGTCTTCAACATAATTTTTTTTTTCCTTTTTTTCGCTTTTGGGAACAGAGATATCACCGAGTGACTTGAGCCAGAATGCCAATCAAACAACCCACGACACTGACCAGGTTGATATTTTAAAACATAGTTAAAAAACAGGTATTGGGACAGCAGGAAGGAAGCATCTAGCCCTATAATAAATGCATGATGCATGGGTGTTTTCCCATCCTCCAAGCAAACCGTCTTACTCCTCTTCAACATCAATCTTTTCTAAGTTTCTCCATGGTAGGAGAGAAGTACTATGTGGCAACAGAATTTTTTTACACTCCAATCTTGCTATTCACTCTAACAAGCGATTCAATTATTTCACAGTATCTTGAATTTTCAGCAAATTGAAAAAAAAAAGAGAAACATTATGATCACACCTTCTCTTCAAGTGTTTTATTTTCTGACAACCATGCTTGAGCTGTGAGTAGATCAATATGTCGCTTTGCAAACACCTGTCCAGAAAGGCAAGAATTGAAAAAATATCCAGATTTATAATTGTCTACATTCAAAGTCTTTTAGGTATGTCCAACTTGGGGGAGGGGGGCACGAAGGCTAATTACGAAGGAGCTTATGTCCACAATTTATTGAGTGCAACCTAAGAGATTTAAAATTGTCAAAGAGGTGGTATGGGTGGTCCACTGATTCTACAATTTACAGTTCCTTTCACAAATTAAAACATGCTTTCCAAGTAACCATTGAAAAAATAGTAATTGTAAAAATTATGACAGAGAGAGAGATTGTAAACAAGACTAAGTCCCTTGCAAATAAAGTAGGAGCATCAACATTGGAACAAAGTTTTCAAGGTGCCGAGGCAAGGCTAGGCAATAGGGGGCGCCTTATCGCCTAGTCACTTAAACAGGCACCTAGGTGGTGGGACTTTTTTGAATAACAACCATAAACCCTGGGGTAATGCCCTAGATTCCATAGCAAACAACATCCATCTTTCACTATTAATTGTTTATAGTCTTCATAAAAATGCATAAACATCATTTAAAACATAGAAAATCAACATATTCATGAAAAAATAGAAGAAAATAAATTTTAGAAGTAAGCAATAACCTTATTTCAATATTCATGAAAGAAGTAAGCTTCTTTCACTATGAATTGTTTCTTCATAAAATTTATAAGCCTCATTTAAACATAAAAAATCAAAATACTCATGAAAAAAATGGAAGAAAGAAATGAAACATATTCAAGAAAAGGAATCGCAGTAAAGAATTGTTAGAGGAAGAAGATGATCAAAATGTATTTGATCAGATAAAATTTCGAGTTCTCCTTGATTAGTTCAGGTTTTGAAGTCTTTGAGGGTTCAAGACACTATACATGTTGATTGAACTCTAACAAATAAGGAAAATAATAAAAAGATACTAGTATTTCAACTCGAATTGATTTTTTTTTTTTGAGAAAATTATAACTTTTATTGCAACAGAAAGGGGAAGGATGTACAAAAGCTTTAGCAAGGTTGTCTGCATACTATTAAGCTCTCAGAAAGGTCTTAGGAGATTTGACTTTTTCTTAAATGAAATCAAAGAGATCTTAGCAAGAGTTATTTGTAGTATTAACACAAGTAAAACCGAATAATTAGTTCAATAATGTTTTCTTTAATATTATAATCTCAAAAGGCTAAAAATACAAAAGTATCCAAGAGCAACCTAGAAAAATAGTATGCTTGTGTTTTATTGGTGGATCAAATGAAAGTGTTGTGGTCATGTAAATGCATCGTTCAACATGTTAGGCTACCCTGGTATTTTTAAATTGTCACAATAAGGTAGTAGATGCCAATAATCAATCTCTGTTTTTTCATGTGTTAGTAGGTTGTTAGTGTGTCATTTGAGGTAGAAACAGGATGCACTCACTAGGGCTATGTGTCATTCTGTGGTCATTTACTGGGAAAACGCTGCCACATCAGCACCACATAGGCATTGGTGTTTATTGTGCATAAAACCAAGGTTCAGAGTATTTCAGAGGGGTCGAATTAAGGCATGTCTACCCCCTGAACCAGGTCAGACCCCGAAACATCCCCTGTAAGGGAGTATCAGGAAATCACCAATACGATACATATCGGCTGATACAGCCCGATGCATACCAAAATTTTGAACCTTGCATGAAACCACAGTTTGGTTTCAATGTTTATCAAATAAACATTAAAAAACAGAAACATTTGGATTTGTGTGCACGAGTCATTGGGGGAACTTCAAATTCTGGTTTCTCCAAATGGGCCCAACTTTTATTGAAATGCAATGCTGACTTGGAGCATTATAAGCTGAGGTGGAAGATAGCTTTATGGGGTGTTACTTGAAACGCCCAACCAAACAACCAAAAACAACAACAAAAAAAAACATTTAAAGTGACGTTTTTCAATAAAATGTTTATCTGAGAAACACCCCATCTATAAACACCCACTGAACAAAACACATACTAGATAATCACCCAGGTTTGGTTGATAGCATGTCGTGTTTTATTGGAGGGTCCAAAGAAAGTGTTGTAGCTACACAAACTTATTGCAAAACATGTTAACTATCATTGTAATTCTTGATTGTCAAAGCAAGGCAATGGACCCTAGAGGCATAATTTTTAAGGCGACAAGGCGAGGCTAGGTGATGGATTTTTTGATAAAATCCATCTCAGTATTGAATGTCACCTAGTTGCCTAGGTTAGGGGTGAGTAGAAAAACCGAAAAACCGAACCAAATAACCAGTTAACCGAACCAGTCGGCTCGATTTCAGTTCGGTGTTTCTAAAAAACCGAAGGTACCAGTTCGATTTCAGTTAACCAATATATAAAATATATATATTCTATATATTATAAATTAATAAATATGCATTATATATATGTAAATATATTTATAATATATGATATATTATTTATTATTTAAAATATAAGATTTTACATATTTATAATTTTTTATTATATATTTATATATATTTTTATAATATATTGTAAAAATTAAAAATCCGACAAACCGAACCAATGGTTAACTGAACCGGTCAACCGGTTAACCGATTGACTTTGGTTTGGTTTCGATTACCGGTTTTCAAAAAAACCGGTAGTACTGGTTCGGTTACAAGAAAAGGCCCACAGTTCGGTTAACCGAACCGTGAGCACCCGTAGCCTTTTTTTTTTGAATAAAAAGCATGAATCCTAGGGTAATTCCTTAGGTTTCACTATTAATTGTCTATAATCTTCACAAAAATTGTATAAGCTTCATTTGAAACATAGAAAATCAACATATTCAAGAAAAAAAATGGAAGAAAGAAAAGAAATGTCAGAAAAATAGAGGGGCTGAGCCTCTATTTTTGTCTTAGGAAAATAAGAAAAGAAAAAAAGTGTGATAAAAGATGATGAAAATAATCAATATGTGTTGATTGGATAAAATTTTGAGTTCTTCCATGCTTATCAGTTCAATTTTTGAAGCCTTTGAGGGTTCAAAGCTATATACATTTTGATTGAACCCTAACAAATGAGAAAAAAAAATAAAAAAAACTGGTATTTTAACTTAAACTGAACAATTTAGTTTAATAATGTATAATTTATTATTATAATCACAAAAAGTTAAGAATATAAAAGTGTTCAAGAATTAATCTCCTAAACAGCTCAACTAAACTAAGCCTTAAACCCAACAATTTGAAGTTGGGTAAAATACTATCCTGCCATAGTGATCAAGAGTCAGGAGTCAACCTTCAACAAGGCCAAAAAATGTGTATCATAAAATTGAAACATACAACACAATAATAACAAATGCTGATAGAGAAAATTAATAAACAAATTAAACATAGTATTGTCTCCTTGTTCTCATCAGCTGCTGATTCAAAGAATTTCAGTGTGAATTAACAAGGGAACCATACTTTCCAAGGAAACCAATATCTACCAGATTGATAGTCATATATATCCCAAACCAGAAGATGGAGAATGAAAAGGGCTCATAGTAAATAAGCATCACTTAAACATAAACCAGTGGTAAGTTAAATTATTAAATGGGAACCTTACTTTGTCAAGAGGGATGTCCTTTGCATTTTGCACCTTCAAATCCATCACAAAACTCCTCATGTCACTCAAAGTACCCCTTAGTTTGACAATGTCAGGAAAGTTCCCTTGGTATCTACCATATATGGTTAATGGGGTTCCAGATAAGAGGTCTTGAAAATGGTAGGGATACACCTACATTTAAAAAATTGAAGAAGAAAAAAAGAAGACTCTATGTCAGAGTTTGAGGCATATCAAAGAAGAAAGGAAATCAAAAGGCTGTGTGAGTTAAATTTAACATTTAACAACATTTTTTAACAATATTAGAAGTGCTTTTCCAAACGTGCATTCATGCATTTTAATCAAAAAGAAAAGATAAAGAAATTAAAAAAAGTGCATGTAGAACAGCTTAAAAATAATTCTTGCACCCTCAAAAGTTGAGTTCTCCAAAATTATAAATGATTTAAGAACCATCCCATTGAGAATGTGGTCAATAAATCGCATCATGATTCACTACAAACCAAGCAGCAACACATGTGGAACAAAGAAGTGAAGAACATACGAAATATGACAGCTTTAGATGATTCACATCTTAACCGGACAATTTAATACAACTGAAAACAGATACTTGTAAAACGTTAAGAAATACCCAAAGAAAAAGACATATACCTCAAGTGCATCAAGGTGTGCCAAACCTTCAATTGTAATGTTTGCAAGAACAGCAGATGAAGCGGAAGTGACCAGTTTTTGCAATCGAAGTTCAATTGAATCTGCACAAATACAAGAATCCTGTTTTAAATTGATGGATTTCCAATAAGATTCCTTATTATCAATAAAATAAATTATTCTATGATGCTATGCAGTAGTAAGATGCACCCTGAATAGGGGTCCAGTTTGGGCCGGGCTCAACCTGAACACCGAACCCAACCAATTTTAAATGGGGTTGTGCTAGGGTTGTATTCAGAACCCAGAAAATACTTGGGTTACCAAATCAGGGTTAAGGCTCCAGTATAACATTTCTTATCAATTGCAAGGTTGATCTGGTCATGTGAGTGACTGATATAGTATTTTTTTATTCAAGTAAATTAATTCTCTTATCATCTTCCTTAACATAAAAATTAAACAAAACGAGGTGTCTCAAGAAAAACACACACACACAATTATTTCAAGGTTTCAGTATATACCATGATATTTTATACTTTACCAAACTTAAACAAATAAGGATCAACACATAAAAGATTTTATTTGAAAAAAAATGTGCAAAAATCTTACAATAGGTCAACATGCAACTTTAAGGATGTTTAGGGCTTCAAATGTGTCTTGATGTCATATGAGTAAATGGATGTAATGTTAGAAAACTTCAGTTTTCTTTCTTTAGAAGTTACAAACAGAAATCCCAAATTGGCCCTCATGCCTTCGACTTTTAAAATTGAAATTTTTGATATACTGGTATATGGTTTAGGACCTGAAATTTGAAGTGGTGTCATTGACCAGCATCACAAGCACATCCATTACTGTTATAGTAGAAAGCTACTGACCTACATCATATGCAGCATCATAAAGACCCCGGCCAATTACCGCAAGCATTTGCAAAAAGTAATGGTTACAGTATGCACCTGGAGAGTTTTGCCAATAAAGAAAAAATCCATTCAGAGAATGTCAGTATAGATGCTTCTATATACTAAAAATAAAAGATAAAGATAAGTAAAAATTGAATATGGACAAAGATTATATGGCACAAGAAACACTGCACTTGCACATGAAAAGAAACTCCTGACAAAACTACGTAAGTATAGCATTTCCTCCAAAAAAGAAACCAAGGCTCAAATTTCCCCATTTCTGAATGCATCTCATGGCTCTGTATGTAAAATAATGACTGTATATATAGTCAATGAATTCAATGATTTCTTTTAAGAAATAACATATACAGAAAGATCAATAGTCTTTAAGTGTTTCATTTTCTTGCATGTTTAGAAAGCAAACCACATAGAGTTCACAACATAGCCTGTACTCAGAATATCATTTGGTATGAACTCCACAAACAGGCAGTCTATTACTGAAAAAAAGTGAAAAACAGTAAACATGGATCACAAAGCTAAAGAATGAAATAAACAAGCTCAAGTTTCAATCAAGCTGCAAGGTGCCAACCAGCTGGTAGGTAAGGTCTCCTGCTGGTCATAGCGGAGACTTTGGATCGAATCCAGCCAGCACCTGGGTTGGGGGGGGTTATGGGCTACCCCCCGTTGTGTAGCCCTTCAAAACATTAAAAAAAAAAAAAAAAAATTTCGATCAAGTAGCAATTCCTTGTTTGCAATGTATAAAGTGTTAAAATACAATCTTTAGCGTAAAGAGTAATATTTTTAAAAGCTCTACCCATCCATATAGTGGAATCTTCCCCAAGACAAGTGCCATGTAAAAGAAAGTACAATTACAATAACAACCTGACAATATGAATTGAAACTTGACCGCAGGAAATTCTTACCTATACCAAATGTGCAAATGCGGGGAGATATGGATCCTCTGTTAGTCAGACTAGTTTTCATAACTTGGCAAATGTGTCTTTCATCCTCAACCGACCCATCAGTAATGAGGAAAACAAGAGGAATTGAACCACTGGTATTGGAAAACATTTTTATTGCCTGAGAAAAGACAAACAAAAAACATGGATATCTCTTTAAATGGATGAATTTGGTAAAAGCATTAACAATCAATAAAGAGAAATAAATATAATATAGTTGCAAGTTTGCACCAACTCCAGATCTGCTGCCCACTAAACACTAATTGTTCCCATATCCCTACACATGGAACAACATTGCCATCTATTGGGAACATCTTCCCATGAATGACAAGGGAGATGTTCCCAATGCACAACTGTAGTGTCCCATGGGTAGGGATGTAGGAAGTGGGTAGCAGATCCGAGCCCGTTTGCATCATGTGCAGAGCACATAAAGGAGGGCATTTCAATCAATCTAAATCATCCACTTGATAGCTTTTAATTTGTTATAAATGGTGAATAAGGTCCAGAAAATTAATAAGTTGCAACCATCCAGAACTTTTGATATTATAGTAGACTAATTGTTGGATGTAAATATTCATAATCATGGGTTTAAGTAGTAAGAAATTAAAAGGACAGCCCAGTTCACGAGGCTCCTGCCAATGTGGGGTCTAGGGAGGAACAGATGTACGCAACCTTACCCCTGCACATACAGAGACGCTGTTTCCAAGATTTGAACCCTGGTCACACAGGTTGCAATGGAGCAACCCAACCGTTGTGCTGCCCTCTTGAAGTAGTAAGAAATTATTCAAGTAATTTAGCAACAGATCCACTAAACAGAATGCAATGGCAAAAAAGCATTGTTTTGAGGAAAGTAAGGTAAACTTTGTTGATAGTGAAATGGAGACATACAATACAACGGGCTCCAAGGACAGGAAGGAGGGCTCACCCACCCCCTCAGGAGGTAGTAAATTATAAGCTCAGACTGTATCCTATATGTCAACATTTAAGGAGTTCAATATTAACAAAAGCATTAGATGATGATGATGATGGATTAGTTGCAATTAGAATCATTATTTAGGATGCAAAATGAGAGTGGCAGTCAAGAAGAAAAACGTCCACAAAATGAGTGATGGCAGAAATGTGTACACTGGGATTATTGAGTTGAAAAACTAGAAAAGGATAGGGTCAGAAATAAAATCATTAAAAGGAACCTAGGAGTAGCTACAATGGACGAAAAAATGAGAGAAAGTAGGCTAAGATGGTATGATCACATGCATAGAAGGCCACCTACAGCACCCATAAGAAGAAACCATCGATTATAAGTTGCAGTGGCCAGAAGGACTAGAACAGGCCAAAAAGGACATGGGTTGAAGTAATAAGAAATTATTTAAGCACTCGTAAAACAGAATGGAATGGAAAAACAAGATTCATGTAGATGACTCCATATAGATGGGATTTGGCTTTAGATGATGATGATTTAAGATGCAAAATAGGTCCAATATTTACATTCTTCATTTATTTGACATGTTGGGTTTCCTTATGAATGCATCCATATAAATTCAAACAACTGTGAAATGTGAATAACTAAAAAAATAAAGGCAAAATGAGCTAAAAGGGGCACAAGCGTAAAAGGAGAAATTCCAATATGCTATCAGAATAGTGGCATAAAAATACTCCAGACCCATCAAGAAGGCAACACCTGATCTAAGGGAGGCAATATGTTTGTATCACCGCCTGCTACAAAATTTATGCTGATCCACTGAAAAGCATTTTCAATTGTTTCCTTGGTTGCCTTTTCCAGTGAAGATGAGAAGAAATACATGTCCTTATTGAAAGCTATGATGCTAAAAGAGTCTTCAGGACTAAACTTGGAGAGGGATGCATATAATCCATTTTTCACACTTTCAAGTGTCCCTCCTCGCATGCTTCCACTTATATCAACAATAAATACAACCTCCTTTCTGAATACCTACCAGATACATATAACGAGATAAGAATAAGTTTAATAAAATCCCATGAAGTGAAAAAATATCTGAAGAATGATTTCAAGTGCTCTAATATCATAATCATCAGCAGGAGAAATTTTCATCCTCCATGAGCCTAACAACAACATGAGATGAAAAGACACAGTAATCTGCATGTTTTATAGTTATTCTCTTCTTCTTTGCTAAACACAACTCAAATACCACACCAGAAAAAGAAGGCCTGGTTTTCAAATACATGTCAACACATATCGAGAGTTGATACATTGGGGATGAAAACTTCCTTCTCTCATAGCTATATTATCAATTCCAATTTACAATATGGAAAGAGAAATTACTGCTGATGAGACAAAATGACTTTTAGACAACTGAATAAGAAAAAGCTTTGGTAATTTTTATAGATATTAAAAAAAAGGTAGAATAAACAATTCAAGAAAATAAGATTTCATTAGTTTTTTTGGGTAGCACATATTATGCATGTCCCAAAATACTGGAGGGACAATAGAATCCACAATAATGTGAACAATAAGACCTAATCCTCTAGCAGTAACATCCAAGGTTTAAAATGTTGATACCGGTGGATATGTTGGTCGCCCAAATATAGGAAACATGTTGGAAATGTCGGAAATATCGTATAGGAATATTGTAGAAATTATAGACATGGTGACTATACACATGATGGAAACATTGTAAAATGTTGATGTCGGTGGAAATGTCGGTCGCCCAAATATAGGAAACATGTTGGAAATGTCAAAAATAGTGTAGAAATTATAGACATGGTGACTATAAACATGATGGAAACATTGTAAAATATGCAAAAATATAGAATGATATTTTATGAAATGATAAAAGCACAGGCACACCTTTCTAAATTATTATCTAGAAACTAAGGTTATATACAAAAGAACATGTTCTGAAGTTGTCCTGTAAACCTTAAGGCTCAATTTGGAAAGAGTACAAATACATACAAAATAATCTATTATACAAATGGTTCTACTAGATCAACCAAATAATCTATTATACAAACAAAAACTAAAATTTAACTTCATATTTGAAATGAATATCAAGCTGGCTAAAAGAGGTAATCAAGCTAAGTAGGCAATGACATTGCTACTCCACATATCTACAATATCAGCACCAACTTATGTTATAATACTATCTCCTGTACTCCACATAGTGTTCACCAGTTCCAATAAAATTTTGTCACTACCCATGGAAATGGAAATATGTCATGGAAACTATCTCTTGTGCTGGTAGTGTTCTCTGGGAATAAGTCGATTCCAGTAAAATTTCGTGTCACTATCCACAAAAATGGAAATATTAGGCTATAGAGAGAAATTTTAAACCATGGTAATATCTTGATATCATGAATAGATCTAGTAACAAATTAACTATTTTGAACAGCTAAAGTGGTATTATGGACAATATCAAAGTTTGAACCAATGTTTTAAAACGTGGAGGCATGACACAAGATGCTCCACTATCTAGAGGCATGAGGCATAGTTTGGAACATAAGAGGCGTAAACCTCCTGAGCACAAGGAGGCACAAGCCTCCTTAAGAGATGGAGGATGAGGAAGCAAGAGGAGGAAGGGGAGGACAAAGGGGATGAATGACCTCATTTTTCTTTATTTTTAATAAAAATCTTTTATATTAAGATGAATGAAGAATGCATAGCACTAGTTGAAGGGGAATCTTCTCTTGTGCTTCTTGAATATGTTACACCTTTTTCCCCTTCAACATGTTTCTTTATGCCAATGGATGTCCAGTAAGAAGTGGGATTTGAAGCGTCTCAAGGAAGATGATGATGGATGGTTACCATCCATCATCAAACTCAATAAAACAAACTCATGTGCCTTGTAATCAATTGGCCCAAGAGGTTGGATCAATAAGTTCACACAATCAATGTTTTGAGAACTTCTTTATTGATCAAAAAAATCAATGTTCTGAGAACTGGAACAGGTATAGAACTGGAAAAGGAAGAGATTCACAGGTCAAAGGCTCGAGTTCAAGCCAAAGGTCAAATTGCAATGACACAAATACTATATCATCATCATCATCATCCATGCCTAATCCCAAGTTCCCAACTATATGGAGTCAACTACATGAATCCTATTTCGCTAATTCGTTCTATTTAAAGTCATCCATGTGAAATTATTAGTGCTTAACATAGTTGTCAAGGCGACACCTAGGCGACAAGGCGCCCTTGGAGGCTCGCCTAGCAGTTTTGTGCACTGGCTTATAAAATACTTTTATATTTTTAATTTTTTGACATTATAATTATAAAATAAACATTATTAAACTAGAATATTGATTTTATGTGTTTATATACTAATTTCTTTTTATTATTTTCTTATTTTCTTTGGGTTTAATCAATGCAACATTGCTAACTGCTGTATTGAACCCATGGTTCATAGTATTGATACACCTCTGTGTATTAAGCATAGGTGTATCGGTACTTATAACGATACTCCCCCTATTTTTTTATTTCTTTGGTTTTTAATTTCACTTTTAAATATATATTATTTAAAAAAATAGGTCCCCCAAAAGCACCTCTAAACAGGTATTAGGACCCCAAAGATACAATATAATACACCCGATATGGGGTGTATCGTATCGAAATTTTGATCATTGATTGAACCCTTAAAAATTTCAAAACCTGAACCTATAAGCAGAGGAAGAACTTAAAATTTTGTCTAATCAACACATTTTCTTCTTCCACCTTTTCTTTTCTTCTTTCCTATAACAAAAGTAGGGGTGCAGCCCCTATATTTTTTTTAATTTTCTTTACTTTGTTCTTTTTCTTCTCATAAAATGTTGATTTTCTAGACTTAAACATGAAACTCATACTTTTCTTATGAAAATTATGAATAATTATTAAGGAAAGATGGTTATGGAACCTAGGGAACTACCCAAGGATATATGGTTTTACTTAAAAAAATTCATTGCCTAGGCGTCACCTAGGCGACTAGGCGCCCCCTTGTCGCCTAGGCTCGCCTTGGCGCCTTGAAAACTATAACTGCTTAAATCATTTCTTATTACTTCTTAAATCATTATTACTTAATGTTTAAAGCAAATGACCAGGGTTCAAGCCTCTTAACTCACATTTTCTTCAAAGTGATTCTACTGTCCAACGAAATGTAGTCATTTTTCCAAGAGGCCAATCTCTTTTCTAACTTCTCAATAACCAGGCACCAAAATCTGCTTTCCCTGGGGTTTGCCCCTAATAGAAGTCCTAGGTAGGTCATAGGCCAGGTAAAAATAGAATATTCTAATCATTCTACAATAGCCTTCACCTCTCCACTTTCCAAATTTACACCTACCACGCTACTTTTTTCAAGATTGACTCTCAAATTGGAAATCATTTCAAATATTTCCACCAACAACTTTAAATTTCTAACCTCAAGGCCTCGTCAATGAAATCCTTGAGCTAAAAAATAGTCTCACCTCCTACAAGAGATTTAACTCACTAAAAAGAATTTTTTGCTTCAATGCAATGCATAAAATTGTAAGTAGATTCTTTTGTTGTTTTGTGTGATTTTTTTGCTTCATTTAGGAAAAAATAATGCAAAAATCATTTAAAAAGACAAAAGGAAGCAATTGTCTTGATTATTGTTTTAAGTTGACCACTAGGTACAAATGTTGGAAGTATTTAGACAGGTCATAGTAGTTCAACTATCATAAGATGCCTCCACCATTATTAGATCCTCTTACAAAAGGAAAACAGGAAATTTCCTTTGGATATCCCCCAAATGTTTCGGTATGTAACAAAGATGTATTAAAACTAAAGGATTTGCACTCTCGGTCACTATGGATTGTTAGAATAGGTATTGTAGGAGACTCCCATATTGTTATATGATGAATGATAGGTCATAGGTGCACAATTGCATATAGGCCATGGAAGAGTCTGTCATCAAATTAAAGAAAAAAAAATCTTTGATTGAACCCATAGTTTTATTAGAATCTTAAATCAGCCAATGCTTTAGCACATAATCTTGCATGAGGAATCTCAAGTGAGCTTTGTAGAGTTGAGCTAGATTTTTGTACATTTTTATTTAGAGGATCCAATTTGGGGTGTTGGGCATCATTTTCCACTTACATCTTAATACAATGTTTTTTGGATTCCTAGATATAAATACAAATTCTTCTCGTAGGATCATCTAAATGACCTTCAAATCTTTGACATGGAAGCATGATGGGGGGGGGGGGCAAATGAGACTCATTCATTCCAATGTCCACTCATCAACCTCTATTACCCAAAACTTCATGTTAGTTTGAGCATCTTCTTAAAATACAAAGGACATCTAGTATCACTAAGGCTCAGTTTGGAAGTACAAATACAAATATGTACAGTACAAATATATACAAAATGTAAGGATTTGTACTCTACATATTTGCATTTGTGTTCCTTCCAAACTAAGCCTAAGGGAAAATTCAATACAAGATGGGTTATAGGGATGACATGCAGTGAGAAAGTCAACATGTGGCCAATCTCAAAGTTCCCTGTCAGATAGATAATTTAGATGCAAAATGACACCATTAGATGGAAAAAAAAATGTAAGCCCATCTACAGAAGTGCCTTGTTCACTGACTTATGCTACCTTTTTCCCTAGATGAAAGCATAAAAATTCTGAGATGTACTAGAAAGTATTGATAAAGTTTTTTGGACAGTTTTATCACTAAGTGGCAAAGTTGTAACTAAAATAAATATGATACATTGTAGAACACAAGCTAGGTAGTTTTCAAAACCAAACTTCAGCTTTATGGGTTAATACATAGATAAACAAACTAAAAAGGAGATTCAAATTCAGGCGATTATCAATGAGAAAAAGATTCATAAAACATATTCAAGCAATAGACCATTGTAAAAACCTTTGTACTCTGATTATTTCCTGAGAAAAGGTAAAGGCAGAACATCTCTCTTTGATCAAAATCATGCACAGAAGGAGACTGCGAGAGAAAGGAACCACATATTTCAATTGAACAAACCTGCAGCAACAAAGATATAATTAAAGACAATTAGTTGGATCCACATATGGATTAAATGAATAAAATTCTACTGCAACATTTCTACACAGTTCTAGTATCACTAGAACGTATACATCTAAAATCCATATAATCAAAAAAAGAGTGAGTTGCTAGGTGACAGATGTCATGGAAACTTGAACTAATTCACTAAACTGTAGATGGAGGATCCCTCCCTACCATTCTTTTCAAAATTTCTCTGCAGGAGAAATCTCTGCTATAATTTCTTCAATAGCATGGTGAACAACAACCTTCCTATGAACTCTTGGCAGGTGTTAAAAATGGTGGAATGTTGTGAAAAAGCAAAACGTGAAGAGAACTACGGTAATACTAGGGTTTAAAGCCAGCATTTGGGGTTTGGAAATTGGAATAGGTCCATGGAATGGTTTAGGGTTAGTAAGGAAGGTTAGGAATTCAAAGAGTGGGTTCTAGAGAGAAAAGTTGTGTAAAAAATCTTGCATACACTGAAGGGTGAGAAAGGAAAGAATAAAGAATTTTAGTTATGGGAGAACGCAAAGCCATGGACAACAAGTCTTGGAGAAAAAAAGCAGTGATAGGAGCGAAGACGTTTGATCTGTAGTTTCAAGCAGGTGATCAGGACCTAATAGAGGTAACGGAAAGGAGTGGAGAAGCCTGGACGAGGCTGACTTTAACCCTTGAAGAAGTGAAATGGTGGAGAAAATTCATTCAAGAAGCCCTTAGAAACCCGAATCGACCTCCAAAAGACAAAAAGGGCAGAGTCCTCATCCTTCAATTACAAGAGAACAAATGGGGAAGGTTCATCCGACTGAGCAGTCTGGAAAAAAACCTTAAGTGGAAAAACATATGCCTACCAGAAGAACCCTACAGTGGAGGTTGAAAAATTTTCGAGAGGGTTCTAACCGTTCTTTCTCCCCCAAAAGAGAACTCCGCTCCTCCGAATCTCCATGCGAGATGCTTTCCCCAGCTCGAGAAAAAGAGCAAGGTTCTAAAGGTAGGAGGATCTTCCTTCATCTCTGTGTTTCATCAAGACAAACCTTTCGGCAAGTGGAAGCAAGCCTTTATTAAACCGGGATCTCTTTCTTGGAGGGAAGTGGAACTTGGACTATCAGCAAACCTTCATACCCAGGAACTCGTAAGCCTACACCAGATTGACTCCAACAGAGCGGTGGGGTTCGCTCCCTCAGAGGAGCTAGTCCTAAGGTGGGTTAAACTGAAGAAAACACTCCTGTATGGAAATCCAGTCTTCCTAGACCGCTGGGTTCCCATGAGTAACGCCATTCCAGAGCACTTAGCTTTCAGTGGATGGATAAAAATCCACGGCCTGCCGTTTCACCTCTAGATGGAGGAGATTTTTTCACTGGTCGGAAGCTTGTGTGGTGGCCTAGAGGAGATCGACAGCAAAACGAAAGACATTTCCGCCCTAAGTTTTGCCCGCATAAAGGTAAGGAGTCGCGGCATTCACTTGATCCCCCGCTCCATACCTCTGGCTACAGCGAAATGTCTAGTTCTACCTCTCTGTCGAAGTGGAGAAGACAACCGAGTCACCTGCACAACCCGCTGAGTCAACTCATTTCCATCACCCCACAACTGGACTAGAAGCTACTGCAAGCGAGAGACCCATTTCAAGAAAGTTTCGAAGTTCAGAAGAAAGGAAGATGCTAGAGAGTTTTTTTTGGAGAAGCCTAATTTATTTCCCAAAAAGAGAACTCAAAGAGAAGCCAGAAAAGCAAGGCGGGCCAAGCCCCTTTTGGCAACTCAGCTCAAATTTCAAATTGTATTCAAAAAGTGGGTCGCCCTTCTAACAGGCCCCACAAGCTGAAGGACTTAAAATCTTTACAAGACCTGGGCCGAAACCGTCCAAAAGCCCACTTGACGGTTCTGAAAGTAGACCCCCACAGCCCAAGCCCACCTGAGACTCCAAATTTCCTAACTGAACCAATTCCAGAAACACCTCCCAGCTGAGGAAGACACAGCGGGAAAATCTACAGGCCTCCCTCTTCACCAGAAAATTCAAGTTCTTCCTCTCCCTTCGAGACAGATGGAACTGACACAGATGAAGATTTGAGCTCTTACGCGACGGAGACCGAACTAGACCCCAAAGAGGTGGCTCTCTTGAGGGCCAAAGATCTGTTCACTGGGAAGGAAGCTTGGGGAAGCGTAGAAATTCTCGAGCACACTCATCTTGTAAACCCTGAGTACGGGATTGACTGCGAGTCTGCAAGCTTAGAAAGAGATCGAGGATGAGAACCACACACCTACCCCAGAGTTTCCCCCCCTCCCTTTCCTCTTCTTTGCCTGAATTGTTTTCTGTTTCGTCTTCCACTCTCGAATCTCACCTAAATTCTCCTCACTGTCTTTCAGGTTTGGACGGAGAGCACTCCCAACCGATATTTAACCCACACTATCAAGAAGAGATGATCAACGGGCAAAACAATGCGGACAAACACAAAAGGGATGTTAACCTTGGAAAAGATGTTATTGAGACAGCTGAAAAGTTGGGGTTAATTGAAGAAAAGGGAACCTTACACATACAGGCTCCGAAAAAGGGGGAAAATTGGACCTCAGAAGGTAGAGTTCGTGAAGAGTGGCAAGCAGATTTCTAAAAGGGAGCTAAAGGGACTTCAATGGGGATTGAAAGATCAAAAGACAACAAAGCCTAGGGCGGATAAGGGGAAATCAGTGATCGGAGCTCAATGAAATTGTTAAGTTGGAACGTTAGAGGGTTGGGAGGCCAAATAAAAAGAAGTTTGGTAAAAGAATCACTGAGAAGAGAAAACCCAGATATAGTCATTCGCCGAGAAACAAAAAAAGAAGAAGTGGACAGGAAGCTTCTGAGAGCAATTTGGGGGATTCGTGGAAAGAAATGGGTTGATCTTCCTGCTGTAGGCACTTCAGGGGGAATTATCATTGCTTGGAATGAAGAGGAGGTCTCGGACACTGAAATTGACAAAAGAGAGTTCTCAATCTCAGTTCTTTTCACCAATAACAATGATGGCTTTAACTGGATTTTGACTGGAGTATACGGACCAAACRCTCCMGCAGRTAGGCAAAGACTCTGGGAAGAGTTGGATGCTCTACATGAATTTGAGGATATCCCTTGGGAAGTAGGAGGAGACTTTAATGTCACAAGATTCTCTCAAGAAAACTCCAACAGAAGAAAAGTAACTAGAAGCACGAGGGACTTCTCCAGTTTTATCTCAAGACATAACCTTTGCAATCTCCCCTTCCACAATGGCCAGTTCACTTGGTCAAATCTGCAAGAAAACCCAACAAGCTGCAAACTAGACAGGTTTCTGGTAACTTCAGATTGTATGGAAAAATTCCCAAATCTCCTCCAAGAAATCAGACCTTGCTGCATCTCAGATCATTGGCCTCTAGTCCTGAGAACAGATACGGTCAAGAAAGGTAAACCCCCCTTTAGACTGGAGAAAATGTGGACATTACATAAAGACTTTCACAAAAAGATAGCTTCCTAGTGGGAGGAATGTAGAGATGAAGGCTGGGCTGGGCATTGATTGCTGCAAAAGTTGAAATTCCTGAAAAGAAAACTGAAAGCTTGGGGGAAAAAATAATTTAAATCATTTGCAGAGGAAAAAAGTGCCATCCTTTTGGAGTTGGAAGATCTGGATAACAGGGAACAATCAAGAGTTCTGGACAAAGATGGAAGAAGGAGGAGAGATGATTTAAGGAATCTTTGGGAAAAGGTAATCAGAAAAGAAGAAATCTTCTGAATGGCAAAAGTCAAGAGTCAAATGGTTAAAGGAAGGTGACAATAACACAAAATTCTTCCACAGCTACGCGATGGGAAGGCGTAGAAAGAACCTTATCTCAAAAATCAAGGTGGACCAGAGGAAATGGAAGATGCTGAAGAAATCACACAAGCATTTCTTAACCACTTCAAAAATCTCTACTCCAAGGGAAGTGGTAGGAAGTTGTATTTAAGAAATTGGGAAGGACCAACTCTAGCAGAAGATAAGAGAGAATGGCTCGAAAGGGATTTTGAGGAGCAAGAAATAAGAGAAGCAGTTTTCGAGATGGATGGTGATAGAGCCCCCAGACCCAATGGCTTCCCCATCTTCTTTTTTCAAATATGCTGGGAAATTGTAAGAATGGATCTTATGGAGGTCTTTAAGGAATTCCACTCCACGGCAGTTATAAACAAAGGACATAACTCTACATTTATCTACCTAATCCCAAAGAAAAATGGTGTCATGGAAGTGAAAGACTTCAGACCAATAAGTCTAGTAGGGAGTGTGTACAAAATCCTGGCAAAGGTCCTAGCAAAAAGAATCAGAGAGGTCCTAAAAGAGCTGGTCTCTCCAAATCAGTTTGCATTCATGAAAGGAAGACAAATTGTAGACAGCATCCTAATTGCAAATGAAGTTATTGAAGATAGAAGAAAGAGTGGAAGGAAGGGCCTTCTTGTGAAGCTAGATCTGGAAAAAGCTTACGACAAAGTAGATTGGGACTGCTTTCTCCAAATTCTGAAACTGAGGGGTTTTGGAACAAAGTGGCTACAGTGGATGAAAAGCTGTATAAGTTCAACCTGGTTCTCGATCTTGATCAATGGAGAGCCCAAAGGTTAATTTAAAGCAAGTAGGGGTCTCCGACAGGGCTGTCCCCTCTCCCCTTTCCTTTTCACTTTGGTAATGGATATCTTTAGCCAGCTCATGGAAAAAGCCAAAAGCCTAAACTTAGTAAAGGGGTTTGAGGTAGGAAGAGATGCCATAAATATCTCCCACCTCCTATTTGCAGATGATGCCATTCTGTTCCTAGAAGCAGATTTGGAGAACATCAGAAGTATGAAAAGAGTGCTTCAATGCTTTGAATTAGTCTCCGGGCTGAAGGTTAATTACTCAAAGAGCAGCCTAGCAACTATAAACCAAATTGAAGATTCTCTTCTGGGAAGTTTCAAGGAAACACTGAATTGCCGAGTGGGAAACTTCCCCCTTTCTTATTTGGGATTGCCCCTTGGTGGGAATCCAAAATGTCCAAACTTTTGGGAGCCAGTGGTGGAAAAATGTGAAAAGAAATTAGCTACTTGGAAACGTTGCTATCTCTCAAAAGGAGGCGGATTTACCCTCATAAAGGCTTCTCTTGCAAACATGCCTGTCTATTTCCTTTCAGTATTTCAGATCCCAACCAAAATCAGATCACAGATCAAGAAGCTCCAAAGAGACTTCCTATGGGAAGGTGGAGATGATAGAAAAAGGCATCTAGTAAATTGGAGTCAGGTTTGCAAGCCAAAAGAGGCTGGAGGGTTGGGAATCAAACACCTAAAAAAGAAGAACAATGCCCTACTCGGAAAATGGCTGTGGAGATTCCCCATTGAATTAAACTCCCTAATGGGCAGTTATCATCACCAGCAAGTATGGGTTAAATGCCAACGGTTGGGACTGCAATCTCCGCTCAAACTGGCTAATCTCCTCAGCCCCTTGGAAAGGTATCACCTCCATTCATAAGCTCTTCTTTTCTTTCACAAGGTTTAGGGTGGGTAATGGAAATAGAATAAAATTCTGGACTGATTTGTGGTGGAGTGATTCCACCTTGGCAAACTCCTATCCTAGGATTTACAGCCTTACCTTAAACAAAGATGCAACCATTTCTCAGTGCCTCCCCTATTCCTCCAATGAAAGCAACATTAACTTGAGCCTCAAAAGACCCTTAAGGGAACCGGAGATAAGCAAGTTAGCTGACCTCCTCCTCTCCCTCAAAGAAGTTTACATTTCCCCAAACTCTCAAGATTCCCGAATCTAGAAACCACACCCAGGAGGTGAGTTCTCATCTAAAACTTTTTTCGAAGCTCGGGTAGCAGAAAACCGAGACTGTGGCTTCCCCTTCAAGAAAATTTGGTGCAAGCTTGTCCCCTCAAGAGTGAGTTTCTTCGTATGGGAGGCGTGTCTGAATCGAGTTAGCACTTGTGAGTTACTTCAGAAGAAGAACCTTGGAAGGCTTTATATCTCCCCCCATGTTTGTATCCTTTGTCTTTGTGAGGGTGAGACAGCTGATCACCTCTTCATACACTGCCAGGTAACCAGAAACATCTGAAACTACTTCCTTCAGCTAGCTGGGTATAATTGGGTGGCTCCCAATCACCTTCAGGATTGGATTTCTCAATGGCATGGAAGAGGCCTGAGCAAGAGAGGGAAGGCTTACTGGCTGATAGTGCTTCAAGCAGTACTCTGGGAATCTGGGAGGAAAAGGCAAAATCTAAGGGTGAGCTGCTCGATGACATTGTTTATCACTGTAATCAGTGGGCTTCCAGCTCAAAGGAGTTCAAAGGAGGCAATATCAACGACCTCAACAGGAATGTGGTCCACTTTCTGCACTCCTCCCCATACACTCCTCACACCCCTAGAGTCCCCTCAACAAGAAGGGCAAGAACTTGGACTCTAAATTTTGATGGAAGTGCCCTGGGTAACCCTGGAGTTGCCGGTATAGGGGGAATCCTAAGAGATGAAAATGGACTCGTTTTCTGGGTTTACAGTGGACCGATTGGATTAGCTGACTCCACAAAGGCTGAAGTATTAGCAGCTCTAACAGGGATTCGCCTAATCAGCAAACTGGGTATTCAGAACTTCTCCATCGAAGGCGACTCAGCAAACACCATAAAATGGTTAGGACAACAGGAAGCTGGACCGTGGAGACTTAGTCACTTCTTATCAGAGCAAGAGATCTATTGGCTCTTATGAATGCTTCTCTGTACTGGATTCCAAGGGAGTTAAATGCTACTGCAGATGGTTTAGCAAAACTAGGTGCTAATCTGGAGTCCTTGCATTGTGACAAATTTTCTCTTGTATAACTCTCAGGGGTCTGTCCCCTGTTATGAATCTGTACACCTCCTTGTGTACCTCTTTCTCTTTTTAATGAAATCAGTTAATTTTTCTCAAAAAAAAAAACATATAATCACTTCTGGACTTGTAGTGACACCTACAAAGAATTAAAATGAAAAACACATAGAAACAAAACCTAAAGTTCAACATTTTACCTCATACGAAAACATAAAGTCAGTGCTTGACCATGAAAGAACATCTGCTTCATATGAAAAACCTAATTTCCCTGCTTGATGCCTTATTTCCTGGAATAACCCCCCCCCCCCAAAAAAAAAGAAAAGAAAAGAAAAGAAAGACTTCAGTTGATGTGTGTATGGAAAATTGTTCTTTAAGTCCAACTAGGAATTCTAGTAAAAAACAAACCTGCAAAGGATGACTAGATGACTTGCATAAAACTTCTTTCCCAGTACCAGCATTTACACTTAAGTGTATCTTTTCTCTTTTGGGAAGCTTCTTTCCAACAGGAGTGACATATTCGGGAAAGCTAAATGGTAGAGTGAAAGAGAACTGACCATTTTTGCATGATAATTTCTGAGACCAACTGGCTTTCACAGACAGGTTGAACCCTCCATCAACCTTGAAAAGAATGAAGCAATTAGATACCTTCAATGGATCTGAAATCAAAATTAATTATAGTATCAAGATATCGAATTACCTCTGGAATGGTCATGGTAAAAATTTGGGGTTTCAAAAAGCCTCCATCCTTCACTTTAGCGGCTTTTGCAGTATCTTCTTTTTCTTCTGTGGTAATCAACCGCGTGCAATATGATCTTCTGATGACATCGACTTCAACACCTAGAATTGAACCCTGTTAGCCACATCATGTTTTGCTTGAGAACAAGAATAAGTAAATGCCAAGATTTAAAAAATAAAACTAACTAAATAGATGATGAAAATTATTATATAATGCAAGGAAAAGGTTAATAAACTATTTCTATTACAAAAACATGAACAGATGTCATATCTTTCATTATCATTTGATAGGCCCTAACTGGTCCATCTCAACCAGCAACCTAGCTTTTAAGTTTGAATGCAAACTGGATAAAATCAATCATCCACAGAAACAAAAAAAAAAAAGCAACCAATGTGATATTCGCCAAAACCAACCAGTTGCCGACTATGGCAGAAGGCAAAAAGAAATTATTGCAAAAGTAAAAATAATAAAGATATATATAACTCAAGGTGGAGACAATGCACCCCAGATAATGCATTTGGAGGCTAAATGTCTCTAAGACAATACTCAATTTGGAGAATAAAAGGAAAAACTCTAGGATTATCTGAAGAATAAAATCAGATAAAGAAATGGAGTTTATCTAATAATCTAATTGGTGTATATTTATGACTCATAGGAACCAGATTGATCATCCATTCTAGCAAGTAATATTTATCAATGGTATAGTTAGCATTTCACTTCTTGGCTTTTTGGTTTAAAACCTGGATTTTGCATTACTTTGACTGACAGTTGGAAGAATTGTAGGTGCAGAACCCCAACAAGTTAGTTATGTAGTCCATGAATGGCTCTGTACATGATCACTTAGCTCTTCAATCTTCCCTAACCAAAGAAGTAATATATCCAGATCCTTTCTAATCACAAGTTGCTGAAAGAGGGTTTATTTTAACTGATAGACAGCCAACAAATACAGAGGTATGGAAAGGATATTAAGGCTTCTAGAAGATGATCTCAAGGCATCAAGGGTTTATTAGCCTTCAAACTCCTGATTTAAGGACTTCAAATGGGGATGTTTAACATCACCATCAGCTTCGATGAGTAAAACACCATCCCCCATTTTTGTGCTGTCTCTTACCAATAACTCTTCTTTTGTAGCATGGACAATGCAACAAGTGACATTGACACTCTGCAACAGCCTACTCGGTACTCACGGTAAAGTGAATGAAAGTTAACAGTATCTTCAACAAAAATGGTTCGCCATTCATGACCGACTCACTTGAGTCTAACCAACTTTAGAGTATTACCATAACTAAAGCAATTTATTGAGATCTTAAGAACACTGGTAATGCCCTCACTGTCAGAGTGTGGCTGAGAAATTTCTCTCTCCATTATCACATTTTGGGTACTACAGACCCCTTGAGTTGCAGGCTGTGGGATGAACCTCTTGACAGGTTGCAATGTCAATCTTGGAAGCTGACTGCGATAAAAGCTACACAAACACACTTTCCCCTCTTAAGCTTCTGCAAGGCAGAAACTACTTGGCTACATGGCTACCTCTCCCTTTTTGCAAGTCCCCATCACATGTCACCGATCGAATCAGTGTAGACTTTTAGTCGAACCCCTTTCTATAATCAGAAGCTTCATTGGATTTTCCATCATCTGAAATATTCAAGACCCTACCCACTCTACCGCAATGATGGTTGGATGTTGGCTCTAGTTCACTGGCAGCATCATGCTACCCTATTCCTGCAGTGTCTCCCTCTGAAGATTCGTTTCCTCACTTGAGTCTTGTGACAAGAACATATAAACCAAGAGAGGAAGATTGTCGACTTGGAGGATTTGAGTACTGGATATATAACAATGAAGTTTGAGTGCGCATTCCTAAAAACTCCATTTAAAAGTGGTTTGACTGAATACAGAGCAATTAACCGGGAATTTCAAATGGATATAAGTTTGATGTAACATTTGACAAACGTTGTAGACTTATAGTAGAAACAAAGAAAAGATGAATAAATCGAGAAATTGGAAAGTTACGTTTTCTTATCAAAGAATTTCTAAGGTACCTGCTCGCTCATTGGGATCGCAAGGCGGCAATCACAGCTCCGGCTTCCCTTAACACAATGAACACGCCACGATCCGTTAACCGTAACGAACGCGGTATCCAAATAGCAGTCCACCTCCACAGAAATTGCATTCATCTGAAGTGGAATCAATGCCGGCGGATCACACCGGCCGTGAACATGAGGCTGGTAGCTCGGAATATCCGGATTATCAACAATTGCAGGATCAGAGATCACCGCGTAAAGCATCGGAGAAGTCGGAAGAAGCGTGTGGGAAGATTTCTCCATTGCAACCGGCCTTGGAGGCGAAACGGAACGATCGTTTCCAAAGTATATTCGCTTTGCGAGCTTCAAGCCATCTTCGACAGATTTCACGAATTGTTGAGCCATTCTATTGAGAGAGAAACGGCAAAGGCTCGCTGGATACGATTAGTCTTAGTATTGCCGGAGGCCGAAGGAGAAGAGAGTCCGGAAGAGCTGCGAGGAGGCGAAACGAAATTAAGACAAATTTTCGGAATACCTCTGGACTCTGGTTTCCGTTTCGCGTCACCGACGCTAGGTTTTTTGAATTAATATAAAGAAAGAGAGCGACGTCGGGAAAGCACATTTCTCGTTACTCTCGAACGTCCTCGTGAACGAGGCGTTGTAGTGTACAATAAACACCCAATAGTTATATGACACGTCGAATGCAGGTGGGGCATTGGTTAGTTTAATTACGCACGGTATCCTATATAAAAGTGGATCGCAAACACAAATAGCTCCAACTGCCCGGCCGATTTGTTCATGAGAGAAAAAGCAGTCCGAATTGGGATCTGCTCCTTACACACCGCACTGTACACCCACCGCACCGAGCATTGGGAGTATCTCCCGTGCGGGAGATGTTCCCCATACATGGTGATACGTGCTTGTGAGGAGCAGATCCGGCTTCAAGCAGTCCAGCCTATCAAAAATAACAAAAAAAATTAAGAATTATTTATTTTGGATTAGTTGAACACGAGGTTATGTATACTGGTGTGAAACCAATAATAACGTCCCACGTCATTCATGGGCGAGACTGGATCTGCTCCGTACATAGGGCATCTCACATACTACCATCTCCCGTACTTATAAGTTATTATTTACGAGAGATATTCCTAATGCACAGTGGATGTGCCTGTAAGATGCATGTGTGAGGAGCGGAGATTGGCTTCCATCAGGATATATAGAATATCTCTATAGTTATGTGTTTTATTTTATGGAGAGATATTCCCAATGCAATGCAGTAAAGATTGTTCGAATGGGCTTTGCCCTAACTGAAGCCAAACTCACCTGTATTATATTCTGGTTGGGAAAAATGTGATGTGTTTTGGAACACACCATCCCACCATAGTGTGTTTTCATAACCATGGTTCTAAAACACATCCACATGTTCTATAGACTTTGGTGTGGTGTATTTTGCAACACCCACAACAAGAAAAATTCTCTATAATATGGTTTGTTTTTAGGGGAAAATGATTCTATATATCATATTTATAAGATAATTTTAAATATGATATACTTAATAAAGTATTATGCTATTTTTTTTTTGTGTTTTTGTAAGATTTTAACCATTTTCACTTACACTAACCTTATATTTAAACAAATTGTTGCATATATTAGTCTATACCATGACTACCACATGGCCACATAATTTACTATGTATGTGATTTATGATTTATATAAGGTCTTAATTCGTCATATCCACGCTTTCTATACTAAGAAATCGCTATTTTATTTATCAATTTATTAATACATAATTTGCATGCAAATATCACAAATAACAAACTAATTATAAATGTACTTGATAAAAATGCCATCGCTTTAACTGCATATTTATTATAAAAGTATATAAAGTTATTCCCAACAAAAAAAGAATCCCAAGTTTAACAATAACACATAGATGTTTTTAAGTAATTTGATGAAACATATTGTATCATGCCCACATCTCATCTACAATTTTCCCTCTAAGGGTGTTTGCTTCCATGTTTATGTTTTCATGTTATTCATCCACATCATGATTGTTAGAATTCTCACTCACCACCTATAACTTTCTTTATCATGGATAGCTTCCCTCTTTATAAAGTATGTATAATGAAACAAACTGTCGTAATATACCATTGCATGCTTAAATAAAATGATGACATGTTTACAAAAATAGGAAACTTTCCTTTCAAAATGTCAAAACACCTTTCAATGATATTATACAAAGATGAGTAGGTGTAATTAAACAACTCCTTTGAGTGGAACCTCCTACATTGACCACGAAAATCATTAAAGTGAAATCGTTTTCCAAAATTAGGTGCTAAGTATCCAGCCCCACTACCATATCACGAATCTAATAGGTAATACTTTCATATGATAATAAAAATCACAATAGTTATATCAAATAGGTTAAAGTTATCGTTTATAAACCAAATAATTTTGCTAGGGTTACATGTTGGATGATATGAAAATTGTAAATTATGATGAGATGAAGCTTATACAAAAACCCTTGAATCATGTGTGGAGTCTTTCCATTCACAATAAACCAATATAGTAGTATATCAAAACATTCATAGTGCATTCCGACTTTCTCCCTTTACACGATGTTTGCTCTTATAAAGGGACTCATGCACTTATATAACTAATGTCAACTGCCCAATGCAACCCCACAACTATTTGTTATATATAAGATTTAACCCAAATATAATTTAATTCAATACTTGAAACCATGGGTAACATTTCTCTAAATGTTAGTTCCAATCTTCAAGAAACAAACATGAGGATAGAATAATGTTGCAAACTCAAATAAGTTTAATCATATAGAGGATAGAGATCTACTACTTATATTTCCATTCCACATATTAAGATAGCTTAGGGTTAGGGAAGCTCTGCCGATCTTGTCTTGCGCTTGTAAACTTTATTGGGACTAGAATAGTGATGAGCTTAATTAAAAGGTGATCAACTTAGGTTCAACTTGCCCACCTTTAGCACTTGCTTTGTCCTAATTCCGCTTCTAACTAGGATCCTTCAACCTAGCAACTTTTCAGTATAAAGCAAACCGACCACCATGTACTAAAAGAGGAAGAAACTAGCAACTAGTATAGGACTAAGAAATTCATTTCCTTATTTCCTATATAAAAAGATAAATATATGCACCTGTCATTACAACTGAGTTACTTTAGGGTAGTAAACTGTAAGCTAAAGATGTTTTTATTCCTTGCTAAAGGAACCCCATTCATCAAACTATGGAATTGAAAGACTGAGCTCAACAAACTTATGCTCTAAGCTCAAGCTAATTCATGCCCACAACCTTTTGTTAGGCGTTCTATTTTTGGAATTTTGAGAGGGGGAAAGTTGGTGAATGGGATTTTGGTTCTCATTGACCAATAATCCCATGTTTTTTTTTTCAGATTTATGTGGGGACCAGGGAATGTTTATTTTCCTAGGTATCGTTTACCCGTGTAAGTGATACTCATGCATCTTCTACATAGATAAATAATTTTTCCACCTAGGGGGAAGGTTGTCAACACTTGAATGGGACAAAAATGCCCATTTTAATAATAGATTTTTATGGCTAAAATGGTCACTGCCTTGTATATTTAGGAAATAAAAGAACATGGGTAAATCATAAATGCACTTAACCGGGTAAATATTTACTAGGAAAACCTTACCCAGGTAATTGCATTTACCCGGGTAAATAACTTACCCAAAAGCGAACAGAGCCTTGATATTCTTATAAACTATTTTTAGAAAATATTCATTCAAGTTATTTTCATTTATTGTTATTTGTCTAAAGACTCTAAACACAATAAAAACCATTCCCGTTGTTTGCAAATGGCCCCAGTAGGAAAAAATGTCAATGAATGTTGACAACTACTTAGAAGGCAATGCAACAAATTGGGAAATGATACACACTCTGGGTGAAGGAAATTATTTTTTAGAAAGATTAGCAAGTTGTGAAATGCATTTCCTACAAGATGTTTCTTGCATGTCAAACACAAGGGAAAATGCCTTTCTCCATGGAAACCAATATGTAAAGTTATGTTTTTCATCCAACCAAGCATAGTAGCTATTGATCTACTTTAACACATGACCAATAATTGAAGGAAACAATACCAAGTGTGTTAGGCTTCAAGTTAACATGAACTACTTGGTGTAAACCCAAATTAGTGTTTGTGAGCGGTTAGTCTACAAACTATTGTTTCATTTACCAATCGAGGGTTGGCTCGTTGGTGTATTAGCTGGGTTGTTTCATTTACCAATCGAGGGCTCGTTGGTGAATTGAATCCCGCAACCAGCACTTTGGGAAATAAAAGGGGGTAAAGGCGAAAGGGAAAAGTTATTGCTGATTAACCAAAAAAAAGCTGTTGTCTCATGTAAATATTTCTAGAAGTGTAATGTTTGCACACATTTTGTACTGTTCGTACTGTAGCGGGCCTTGTTGGCCCAATTTGGCAACGATAGAAGGTTGTGTCGGTACAGATGGCCCGTGAAGGCTAAGGGTGGGGCCCATTACAAGCCCATGCCCATTGACTGCAGGCCAGACTAGGCCAGGTCGATCTATCTTATTCCATTCTTTTAGTTTTTTTTTTCATTATCATTTTTTTTACTTCACTTCAAAAAAATAAAATACTCAAGAATTTACAAAAAAATAAAGGAAAAATGGTAAATCCAATTGATGAAGGGAAATTTGGCCCGACCTCTCGATCGCCCGACACGTGGCAAAGGCAAGCAGCTCGGGACAGTAGAGCACCCAAAGCGAACATCGGAAGCAAGTCCAAACTCACTACCGAGCCCGAACTCCAGACCGCTGCACTTAGTCCGAGCTCTTTGTTAAGAGCAAACTCCCTGTTAAAGGTCC